CATTGCCTCTTCAGGCAGCGGTTTTGCAGTGGAGGGCGCGTCTGTAGACAGAGCATCCTGTTGGCATCATGGAAATTGCCTTTGCCACACCTACCTTTTGAATGGGCATCCAAGTCAAGATTGCTGGAAGGTACGCATGATGATGCATGATGATGCATGATGATGCATGATATAGTCAATAGAAAACAGTCTATGATAATCATTCAGAGTGCACAACACAACGAAATGAGGAAAAGGTTCATCTGACTCATTCTGTATATATATATATATCTGTTATTGCCTTTTCATGGAGTTGAACTGCATTGATGCACAAGATTGTGTCCTGAAAAGGTGGTTACTGCACTGCTCCCCTGACATCCCCTGACATGCCCTGACCATTGCCTCTTCAGGCAGCGGCTTTGCAGTGGAGGAAGGGGCTGTAGACGGAGCATCCTATTGGCATCATGGAAAATTCATTTGCCACACCTACCTTTTGAATGGGCATCCAAGTCAAGATTGCTGGAAGTTATGCATGATGATGCATGATGATGCATGATGATGCATGATAATGCATGATGATGCATGATGATGCATGATATAGTCAATAGAAAACAGTCTATGATGATGCATTCAGAGTGCACAACACAACGAAATGAGGAAAAATGTTCATCTGACTCATTCATACTCATTCTAGATCTAAATATGTTACTGCCTTTTCATGGAGTTGATTTGCATTGATGCACAAGATTGTGTCCTGAAAAGGTGGTTCCTGCACTGCTCATGTTAACATTCCATGGCATGCCCTGACCTTTGCCTCTTCAGGTGGCGGCTTTGCAGTGGAGGAAGGGGCTGTAGACGGAGCATCCTGTTGCATCATGGAAAATTCATTTGCCACACCTACCTTTTGAATGGGCATCCAAGTCAAGATTGCTGGAAGTTATGCATGATGATGCATGATGATGCATGATATAGTCAATAGAAAACAGTCTATGATAATCATTCAGAGTGCACAACACAACGAAATGAGGAAAAATGTTCATCTGACTCATTCTATATCTAAATATGTTACTGCCTTTTCATGGACTTGAACTGCATTGATGCACAAGATTGTGTCCTGAAAAGGTGGTTCCTGCACTGCTCATGTTAACATTCCGTGACATGCCCTGACCTTTGCCTCTTCAGGTGGCGGCTTTGCAGTGGAGGAAGGGGCTGTAGACGGAGCATCCTGTTGCATCATGGAAATTGCCTTTGCCGCACCTACCTTTTGAATGGGCATCCAAGTATATCCAATTCAAGATTGCTGGAAGGTACGCATGATGATGCATGATATCATCAGTAGAAAACAGACATTAATAGTTATTCCTTCATAAAACCGGGAGCGTTTGGACTAAAACCAACGTTGGTGGTGGAAGTTTCTAAGTTCGCGGTATTCCACTTTAATGCTAAGTAAACAAGCTCATATAAAATCATATAAATACTAAACGAAAACATCCGTTGCAAACCATGACTCTGACAAACAACACGTCAGACATATATAGAAATATTGCACCTGCACATCTCCCATAGCAGAGGCATCAGGCGGCACACTCTCTGTTTCCTGAGTTGATGTTGCAATATGTTGCAATATGTTGCAATTGGGTCGCAGTCGAAACATGTCGAAACATGTCGAAACATGTCATTGAATGTTTCATTCAGATTAGTGTGTGCATATTTGTGTGAATGCTTTGGTTTATGATAAAACACGATGAAGAAAATACATGAAGAAGGCAGGATACAGCACCTCAAGTGGCTAAAGCTCAAGAGCACATGGTTTGAAAGCTATTGAAAGCTTACCATTGGTGAGGAAAAACCATGCATAACATTGCATAACAATTTCTTGGGTCTCCTCTGGTCATCAACCTGCTAGCCACATTAACCTCTTCCACCAAGAATCCACAAAGGGAACTGCAGTTCGATCTGGGCAGTTTCGTAGTCGATGTACCTGACTCACATGAAGTCACCACTGTCTATAATATTTTAGATTGATTTATGGATAGATTTGGGTACCTGCCATATCTGCCACAACTTCTGAACTGCAAACGCCACACTTCAAGCCCTTTGGCCCATAGCATTGCTTGATAATGCTTGATAATGCTGCATATTGTAGGGGTATACTGTAGAGCTACGATGCAGGTGCTGGTAGAGGTACGGTAAAGGTACGGTAGAGGTACGGTAGAGGTACGGTACTCTACCGTACCTCTACCGTACCTCTACCGTACATGTACTTCTAACGTAGCCCTATGATCCCATCCTGTCATATTTTCAACGCACTAAAAAAATGTTTACGTTTGGACCTACCTGCTCAAGTCTGCTCAAGTGGAAAACCATGTGATCCAAGATGCAACATCAGTGCGAGAAGGTGGCGATGGCAGGCCCAAGTTCTTCGCCACATTGTTCGCTTTGGCCCACGAATCTAAGGTCTTCTTATACGCGGGATGATGCCAGTAGTCTCAGTGGCAGGGGCTTTGATATGTTGGGATTCTGGTTGTGAGGTGGTGTTCTGACTGACAGCAACCATGCATCATGATCATCTGAGACTGCGCATTTTGGACATTTCTGGGAAAATCTTCCAAGCATAGAATGAATTAGAATGACATGAAGACATGAAGACATGAAAAAAATCTCTGATCTTGCTCTCTTTGCGCTGAACGCAGCACAAACCGCAGTCCACGCGATTGCTGCTCCAGCTACACTTCTTCTTCACCAGCCAGCCCATTGCTGCTCATGGCTGCTCTCCAGGCTTTTGCATGTCACACGTTGCATGTTATTTTTTCTTCGATTCAGCGATATTGATATATATTGATCTATCTTAGGGCTCAACTTGCCATATGTAAAATAGATTAAAATAAAACATATTCCAAGTTGGTCCTCTTGATGTCCAATGATGTCCAAGTAGGAGTTTTGTGATGTTTTGTGGTGTCCGGGTCAATGCATGTCCAAATGTTTCAAGGTTCACTATCCCCTGGAACCTGCAGCGGGCGCCGGACAGGCGCACAACATCAAATAAGCCCCATTAAGCCCCATCAAATTGGATGATTATCCCAGAAAATACTATTATATTTTCTTAATATATGTTAAACTATAATATACTATAATATATTATAATATAACATAATACTATAAGAATATACAAAAACTATAAAAAATATACAAAATTATACAAATATATTAAAAAAATATATAAATATATATATATATAAAAATATAACATAATATAACTATATATTTAATTATATATATAATTATATATATATAATTATATATATAATTATATATAATTATATATATAATTATATAATTATATATATATACATAAATTACTGAAATATTTTTTTTCGTAGGTCCCCCCTCCAAAACAAGCAAGAAGGTCACTGGGATTATATATATGTGTGTGCGTGTGTGTGCGTAGATGTTTGCAAACTTATAGGTAGATATAGGAAGACGGATTGCCTGAGTGGATAGATTAGATGCATAAGTCAGATATACAGGCATAGAGAAATTATAGATAAACATAATTTCAGATAAATTTAGAGATGGAGATATGACTCCTGGATTTAACCCCGAATCTGTATCCCAGTTTAACTGGCCCGACTGGTGAACTAGCTGCTTAAAAATCGGACATGGGTCAGTTCCCCTGAGGGATACCCGCCCTGAGGATCATGGCTGGAAAACCCCAAAGCTCCATTTCTAGGGGGTTTTCCAGCAATAAGCAACCTTTGAAGAGGCTAAATCCGCCAGATCTTCTAAGATCATCCCAGGAAAAAAAATCCCTATTCAGCCTTCTAAAATCCTATAAAACTACCATGAAAAACCCAGCTTGGCAACCGCTACTACGCCGCAAAACGCCGCTTCCCGGGTCAACGATTCCAAAGATCTCCACCTGCGCATTGGAAGCTCTTGATGTAACAGGCCGCGCCCCCCAGCAACAGGGATAGCAACACCAAGAGGACGGCACACCTTGCAGGAACCATAAAGAGCCACGGAAATCCATGGGTTTTGAGTTCGAACATCATCAAACATCGGTATAAATTAAAGGTGGTGGATTAAATTTTCTTGATGCATATGTTTTTTTGGGTTTGTTAGTGGGTAAGATTGGGTAAGTGGGTAAAACTGCGGAAATCAAAGATGGAACATATTTTTCAACTGCGTCGTTCCAAAGCTGTACCCGAAACATGACAAAACAACATATATTGTGTGGCTAGGAGGCTCAAACCTTTGGAAAGCCAACTTCTTTTACGGGTATCGGTCTTGCGTGTTTTTCCGACACACTTCTTCAAAGTTCCATTATATATTTCATTCTATACCAGGGGTTTATGACCATCGATATCCCCTGCAACCACTGCACAAAGGATTTGGGCTACAGTGTAGAACCAAGAACAAATATAGAACCCTATTTCCAGGATGCTAGTCTGATGTTTTTTTCCCAGAAAAACTCCAGCTGTTCCGCATCTTTTGGGGTTGCACATCTATCCGCCAAGGTGCCAAACGCACGGACCAATCAGAAACCGCAGGAGGACGATGTAGATAAATCCTGATGGCATGTGGAAGCTGCGATCTACGGACGGTTTCAAGGTACGAGGTTATCATCCAATCATCCAAGTGAAGCCAACCACATAGGTATAAAATGTTATAAGTATTTAAAATTAAAAGGTATAAACATGTTATACCTATGTGGTTGGTAACTGGTAACTGGTAGGAACCATGATTTTATACCTATGGAACCATCATGGTATAACATGTTATAAACCATAGAAAATGGTGGTAACTGGTAGGAACCATGATTGCGTTGTTATCAGCCGACGAACGCTTTTCTCCGCTGGTTGAAATCACCAAGCCAGATATCACCACGAATTTGAAAGCGCTCACCAGCCGAAATGATACATCATAAGGATATCAGATTATATTAATAAGGATATTGGGATGTATATATAATGAGATGTATATATAATGATCTAAGGATATTGGGATGTATAATGATCTGATTATATTGCTTTATATTGCTTTGGGATGTCCCTTAAAAACTGTTTAGTAAACGATTTTGCTTCCTGGCATGTCCAGAAAAGAAATTTTGCTGCCTGGCACTTCCCAGAAACAAAGAAACAAAGTTCAGCCGCGACACCGATGACGAAGCACAGCAATGCAACGATGATGAAGGCATCAATGGATTTCTCGAACTCTCCCAGCAGCGTGCCCAAGGATTCCTCGGGACAGCTGGAAACGAGCTCAGATCCACGGCCTGATGGCGATCCAGCAGTCAACAAAAGCGCAAAATCACCATTCTTTAGTAGGTCCATGTTCTCCTTAAACACCGAAATCCATCAAAATAAGTAAACATATGTAAATAGCCTATATAATAATATACGCTAATGGGATGTAGTGGACCATTTTGCAGTTCGCAAAGTGAACTTTTTGCGAAGGATTTTGCCAAGCCGATGCCAAGCAGCGCTTTCGGTGAAAGATTGGACCGCCAGGCTTTCCTGGGTCCATGGATGGGAACGTTTTTAAAACGGTCAACTGCTCCAAAAGACGTGGAAAACCGGAAAAGCCATAGGGGAATACCTATAGGTTTTTTTTGGGGATCTACCAATGGGCTAGTTTCATCTATTTTCCACATCTGAGTTTACAAGATGGCCATCAACCATGATCTGGCTGGACAATCCCTGTTGGGAAAATCATTGAACTATGGCTGCGGGAATTCCCCATAAAAATGATGTGGACCCATACTTGAACGGGATACAAATAAACCTGCATCTATGTTGCTTTTGATAACAGTGAATCAAAACCAAATTCAAGGCCAAATTCAAAGTCCCACCTAATATTGGTTTGCATTTATTGTGAGCCCGTTTGAGGTTGTCCAGATCTGTGATTAAAAAATACGCAGACCCTCCTGCACATTTAAACTATTTGCATGTGTACATACACTAATAGGTATTCATGTGTATATACCTCATATATGTCCGGGCAAATTTCCTAACAATTCACTAACCTGAAATATTGGGCCAGCTATGGGGATGATTCCCCATTGAAAAAAAAACATGATTCCATGGTTCGGGAGAACAGTGAGGCCGTTATAATTTGCCCAGATATTGTCCCGTCATATCCCATTAAGTTCCCATGATACTGCCATTTATGTTTGTTAAATCACCATTTTTCCCATGGTTTCCTATGGGTTTCATGTGTATATACCTAATATGTGTACCTCATGGAGGTTGGCTCTTCATTGTCCGTCAGCCTTGCACATGCTCTGGACTGTGCAATCCTAGCGGAAATTATATATATACTTATAGTAATATCAAAACATATCATATCATATCATATCAAATCAATCAATCTATCTATCTATATGCACCTGCTTGTGTATATAAATATATTCTATATCCTAAAAATACCTGGGGAAACTTCTTCCACCAGCCACCAGCCACCAGCCAGCCCACATGGCTTTCGAGGCGCAAAGGTCTCAGCCGCGGAGCTGCCAACCGCTGAGATCACATCACTGGACATCTTGAAGCTGCAATAATCTCAGCCGGTCCCACATCGGCAGCCCATAGGTCCCCCACTAGAACGACGTGGTTCCCATCGTGACACCCCCGTTATTTTGGCGGTTCATCGGTGGTTTTTTAAATGGAGAATCATCATGATGACGGCGAAGGGGATAGAATATAAATAAAATCTAATTTATAGATGACGAGGAACGACCAAAAAAAGGATCAAACACAAGAAAAGAAGAAGCAGAGCAGTCAAAGAGCCAGAGTTTTGCCAAGAGGCTTAAGGATGCTGCGGAGAATTCGACACCAGGCATTGGGATGCACTTGTTCTCCGAATAAGGGCAAAGCCTTGGAACTATTCCCCTGATGGGTTGAAGCCAACTGTCATAGCTAGAGATCAGCGAAATCCCGCCGAGTAGCGACAATGGCAGAGCCGTGAAGGTGAATTGATCGTTGATCGTGGTCTGCAGGGCACCGGAGGATCACCCCACGGATCGTAACTGGGTAACTGGGCTTATAATCCATTTACAGATGGGATAACCCACTTAGGTGCTTAGGGGACTTACTAACGAAGTGGGATGATCCCCCAGGGAAGCATTCGGAACCATGGGGAGGGAACATCCCACAAGTGCCTAAACCCGTCCCAGTCCAAAAAATAGAATGATCCAAATGGTGTTTTGGAACCGTGCTTGAAGGGCAAACACACAATGGGGATCTCATCACTAGAAATGGAAGAGTAGTACCTGGCGCCTAACACCCCAATCGTGGTAGTCCAGCTGGTTTCCAGTGATGAGATAGATTCAACCTACATCTGCATACCATGGGCCCGATCCCGGAGATTGATTTATGGCATTTTATGGCAACTCTCCATCACTGTCGGGTTGGTTGTTTCAATCCAAACCCCAAATTTTGAAAGTTGGAATCATAGCACGGCATGGTTTGAAACCAAACAGTCATGGTTGGCCCCAGATGATTGGAGGATCCAACCAAGCCGGCAACATCTCCAAAAACATCCAAAGAAACTCTGGTAGCACATGGTAGCATTCATGAATTTCGTAGCCAACTGAGTTGTAACATAGTTGTAGCTATGAAACGGTAACATGTTGCCCATACGGCTGTCGGCCCATCAGGCTCTCCTGCAAGGATCCACTGGTCTTCAGCAAATCCTTAGGAATTTAAGGCTCCGCCACAAGTGATTTCATACAAACATGGGCAATACCTCAGCCATGCTTCACACACACACATATGTATATATAATATAATATAACTTAATATAACATAAAACATCACAATATAATGGTGTATATATATATACATATAGATATAAGTTTACACATGTTTGCGTGCAAAAAAATCAAATCTGTATAACTGGGCAACATGATTATAGTTATCATGATATTATCACATCACAGCCACATGTAAAGCAACATGGGGCAAGGATCCCAGTAGGTCTTCAAGGGGTTGTCTTCGGCCATTTCATAGGTCCAGGTTCTTGGGCTCGTGCTACCTCGGCACGTCTCGGCAACGTTGCGACAATGACCAGATATTTGGGACATCTCTGCCACAATATAATACAATATATATATATAACTCCTATGGAACTCATGGGAGAAATTCATGCAACCAATGGATTATATATATATATATGATATATGATATATAACTGGTTATTATATGGTTAATATAATGTTAATATACTGTTAGTAGTGGTTAATATATAATTGGTTATTATATGGTTAATATAATACAATATATATAACTGGTTGGTGGTTGACCTACCCCCATCTATAAATGGATGATATCGATGCTTTATAGTAGAAAATACCATTAAAATATGGATGATGACTGGGATATAACTGGTTGGTGGTATACCTACCCCTCTGAAAAATAATAGAGCGAAAGTCAGTTGGGAGTTTTCTTCCCAACTGAATGGAAGCATAAAACATGTTCCAAACCACCAACCAGTATATATATATGCAGATTATATTCATTAATATTGGATAATTTAAGAGTGAAATTAACATATCCAAATATGTGTTCTTCAATTTTTTGCGGTAATATTTGACATCTCTATTGATTCATATTCTTGTTTCATTAAATCATCAACCAGGGGCGTTGAACACTGCTCAAATGTAGTTGGACGATTGCTTTCCTGTCAGACATGGTCCTGTTTTTTTTGAACTCCTGCTGCTGGATTTGAGAGCTGAATAAGGGAACACGTGGGGGTTAGGGGGTGTCATGTGCATGTGCCCCGGAAAATAATTAAGAACAGTACTCATCGAACAACAAATCCTCAAGGCATCCCGCTAGCCCAGAACTTTGTTCAGTCAAAGCACTGTTGGATGTATCGAAGTTGGTGTTGCAATCAGGCAAACACACTAAGTTGAAATACCTCAGCCGAACGCACCAGCCACGTCCGAGCCACAGCCGATCCACACGGGAGTGTTGGAAAACCATGCTGCTAAGACCCTTTTATATTACCCATGGTTTCAAACATCATTGCCCACATTGGTAGAAAGCATACCAACAGATGACAAAATGGTACACATCGTAATCGGAGTTCCCCCCGACATCAAACCTGAAGAGCTCAGTTTTTGTTCAACATCCCAAAACCAACATGAGAAACTCACTGAAAAGTCTTCCAAAAGCATGGCAAACATTGGCAAACCAGATCCACTGGAGGAACAACATGGATATGATGGGATGCCGCCCAAACGTTGCGACGTTAATCAGACCATCAATTCGTCTACGACCATCAGACCGCTGTTTGTGATCGAATTTCAATTTCATAGCATTTTGATACTTCATGATACCTCATGATACCTCATGATACCTCATACCTCATGATACCTCATACCTCATGATACCTCTAACTCTGACACCAACTCTGTTAATTTGACAATTCAAATCCCATGTCAGCGGAAAAACTGTGGAAAAACCCATGGCCGTCGCCAGCTTTTTTTCGCCCGACTTCCGCGTCGTGTCCAGGGACTTGGTGGCCTCGCTCCACATGGTGGTGAAGAAGTCTCCGTTGCTGCCCGATGGACTGAATAAACTCGAGGGACTTACGGCGCCACGTATTTCCTGCATCTTGCCTGCGACGAAGGTCGAACTGCTGGTTGAAAACGCCCCCTATGAGGGGCATTACTGTGAATAAGTTACATGATGAGGTTTGATTAAGGGGATGATTGACCGCCATCAGGCCTTTTATATAGTAATAATAATGATAATAATAAGAATAATAATAATTAATGTAGAGTAGAGATAGATATTTCCAACACAGCCTCTATTTCGGGGGCTACTTCTCTTGGGAGTCTAACTGGCCCCGCCTGTCACAGTGCTCTGCAAATCAGTCACGCTTGAAACGTCACCTAAGACACAGCACCCTACATCTACTCGGAGCCTCTACTGGAGATCAAGGTTCATCTCAATGGCATGGGGGGGTTCACATATGAATTTCACATCCAAAGAATCATTGAAAATACATGAACATACGGGTTCTATATGGTTTTATATGGTTTTCTGTTGTAAATTCTTCCGACATACTTTAACATCAACCACCACTGCGAGAAAAGTCTGCCACATCAGGCGGTCCAAGATGATCCAACCACATCGGACGATTTTCCTTGACCAAACATCATTGGACACCTCTAGTACCATTGTTTACCCTCTTTATGCAATTTACCAACCAAAGCTTCCCTCAAAAAAACATTAAACAAACACGATATAAACATCCATGAAAGGGGGTCGAGAAGGCACAGAACATGTTTCCTTGTTTTTGACTTTTTGTTAGCTGTGTCTTTACAGATGGTCTTAGATTGTCGTGGATTTCTTTAGATTGTTCTCCGGCCTGGATTCATCTGGATTCAAATCTTAAAAATTTGCATAAAGAATGGGTTCAAGTTTCAACCAAGAGGTATGCAAAGCAAAGGCTCGCAGGACAACACTTCCTGCCCCAAAAAAAAACTCGAAAATTTCCAGACCCGATTCGACTCGGATATGTTTTTCCTATCCGGAGACATGTTTGAAACCCGTTGAAACCTGACAACAGCCATGACAGTGACGAGGGACTGAATTGATAGCTGCTGCGGCAAGAATCGCATGGGACTTTGCAACATGCGCATAAATAGGCATCCTGGCGCCCGGCGGCCCGCACTGAGGATAGACAACAACACTTCGACAGTGAAACGTTTGAAGCGAATGCCCTTGTCCTGCCTCACGTGTTTGGGTCCTTTGCTGATTTTTGGATGCATCATGATGCATCATGATGCATCATGATGCATCATGATGCATTGCTTATGAATTTGTCATAATTTGTCTCAGCCGTTTCTTTGTATGTTGAGGTACCATGCTTTACAATAGTCATAATTAGTTATTATGATAATATGTAAATATATATAAATATATATAAATACTGTGCATATTATATATGTGTGTGTGTGTGTCAGTTGTTTTCCCTATATCTTCTGCCTTTTTTGCTCCCAGATCTCCCGGGTTTGATCTTGGAAATTGCCATGGATTTCCCAGAAGGCGCACTGGCCAGGAAGCCTATGTTTTTGGCTTTTTTGGTCCCCAAAACATGTTAAAAACATACCTCCAGCCGATGTTCTGAATGTGGCAAAACCGGTTTGATAACCACCAAAAAGGGTGCTTTGAATATGATGTGTTCCTATGTCACTGAGTGTTTTATTCATGGATTTTGCTATCTTTTACCATGTGTTTTTGTTAAATGTTTTTCTGATTGGCACCACCATTTGGAACACATTTCCAGGGGGCTATCCAGATCCTCTCACGGGTCCCACGGTCATATGACGCCGTTGTCAAACCCAAGGTCTGGATGACACTGTCCCCCGCTGTGGAGCACAAGAGCTGTTTAACCTAGAGCCGAGATGATTAACCTAAATTCAAAGTATAAAGCCTGTTAAAGACCTGTTAAAGCCCTGTTAATACCCTTATTGTAGTATATTAAGTAGTTATTTTTTATGGTTGGAAATGGGGTTGTGGAGGGCCATAACTGTAGGTGTCAACAAGAAATAGCAAGAAACATTACCCATGCTCAAATAAGGGTCTTCATCAGAAATGAAAGGAACATGATGAGTGACAACCAAGAAAGATGAGGATCTTTAACCCAAAAAATACTGGGATGTCACCAACAAATTAATGAAATAGACAGTGGCATCGCTGGCAGTTCTGGGTGTGGATAAAACTGTGGAAGGCAGAGCTGCCAGTTTTGAGACCGTTTTTTGAGTAGCGGACTGCATCTCCATGATTGGGTGCTACATCATTAGTGTGATGAGTATCCTCCGGTAATTTAACTTAGCTATTGAAAATGACCATAGAAATAGTGGATTTACATGGGTTTACCCATTGAAAGTGGTGGATCTTTCCATAGTTATGTAAACGTTTACCAGGCCGGGTATCCCCAAGATGAGCTAATAGCTGCCATAGCTCAACATGCATAGCTCAATATCCCATCAAGTCATCGGATTTTTCGGGACCATGTCACGACCAAATCAGTGGTCGCAGTTGCGTTCCTTGGTCGAGACGATCGTGGCGGGTGACTCAAGGCTGTCCAGGCCATGGATCTTCAGATCAACGTGTTGCCTCATGACAAGCAACTTACAGATAAAGAATGTCCGTGCACGACATAGTTGCATGACTATATATATATATGCATGTTATATATATATATACATATAATATATTTTTTGTAAATTAACAAATAAATAAAGCAATATTAACATATAGCTTAGCGATGCTTAGCCCATATATGAATAGTACATCATTAGTCGTCAAATTCATGTTGAACATACACACATAATTATATAACGATATTATATATAATCTTAGATTTTTCAATACAAACATAATTAAAAAAACATAATCCTATATAATCTGATATAATATTATATAATTAACATAATCAATACAAACATAATTCAAACATAATTCATAGATAGCTGGTTTTAAGCCACATCTTTGTAGATCAACTCCCAAAATCGCTCCAACTCAGATCGATCCAGGCCCAGCTTCATCGTAAAGGACAGGTATGGAAAGTTCAAGGTGTTGGGACCCGAGTTCCAATTGGTCTCCTGGCAGTCGATGGACCAATGGAGGAAACTCCAGCAGAAAAATTACTAGATTCTTCCCTTTCAAAGCCACTAAAACCTAGATTTTAAACCTAGATTTAAGTCCCCATTGTAGTACATATTCCCATGATATTTATAGAATTTTCCCGAAGCTTCCAGTATCACGTGGGGATTGTCCATTACGCTGGAATTTGCCGGAGGGTAACTGGTTGATCGATGATGCATAAACCATCCGAAGTGGTTCTTATGTGCTGGGTGCCGTTTGCAATCGCACCTCACTTTTTCGGGCAACCAGCCTTTTCTTCGCAGGGGCTATCCTGGTAAAAATGATTAATACAAACTGAGAGTTTCCATTTCTATAAATCGCTGCTAACACAGGAGCCAAAAATTGCAACTTCGAATCTTGCGGGTTTTTTGTTGCCAAGGCAAATCCCACAATTTCCAAGAAACCCTTTGCCCCTCCCAGGGGGAAAAAAAAACGAAAAAATGTTCCGAAAGTTGTTCTCCAAGTTCTTTCCGAGATCTTTTTGCTTAAGAGCATTCAAAGAAGAATTCTCTGGTAATTTGTTGCAGCTTGCTATGGTTAAAACTAGCTTTGTCAACTGGAGGCTATATCCCATGAACTCTCATATAATCACTATATAATCACCATAACATCCCATCAAATGCCAAATACATCCACCATAATTCCCATCAAATCCCAAAAACATCCACTGTTTTCCACGATTCCCGGCCGAGTCGCCACCCCACAGTAGGCGCCACTGTAGTCCCGCGGCAGGTAGAGCTTGGCCGGATTTCCGTCCGCGAAGCCCATGAAGGTGACCACTAAATAGGCCAACCATGCCTTGAGGGCCACTTGGCCGACATGGGCCGACTTTGGGCTTTCAAGTTGTCATAGGGAAATCATCCTGCAAATCATAGGGGGGTCTGGTGAAATCTTGAACTTGATGCTTGAAAAAAGTTAAGGCTAGGCAATCAACTAGCGTTTTTTTCCCCCATAGATCCAGTTGGGGCCATAGATTTCACAATGGAAAATTGGAGATGTTGAAACCAAAGAAATGTAGTGGACATATAGTAAAAATAATCATTCACATGCATCTAAATACCTGCATCTAAACCAAATATGGTATGGTATTGTGTTGTAGTAAAGCCGCAAACAGATCCCGAAATGTATGCAACCAGGATGGTAGCTCGATGCCACTGATTTCCAAGAGAACAGGCACTTTTCCAACACCTCATTGATGCGCGTTGTTTAATGCTTGGAAGGTGGTATTGATGTCTGGAGGTAGTTGCAAGTTGCATGCAGGGTTGTAGAAATAACTGTCATAAAGTCATATACCCTCTGGATCTTTGGTTATTTAACATAGCTATTGAAAATGGCCATTTATAGTGGATTTATCCATTAAAAATGGTGGTTTTCCATAGTTATGTTAGTTTACCAAAGGGTATATAGGCTGTTCAAAAGCATCTTTCGGAGCAGCATGTTCAAAAGCTAGATCTAAGTTGCCACCAAGAGGAACGGCAAGCACCACAAATCTGTGCAGTAACCTCGGAAATTGAACACAAATCCATGACAAGTTTCATCTCAAGGGCATCCTATGGTAATCACACAATGGGAAATCACCGAATCTCATAGATTTACCCTCTGGTAATCAAACATGGCAGTGGAAAGTCCATCATTTATAGGTGACTTTCCCATTAAAACCTCCATCTATATAGGATTCCAATTGCCACGTTTGATTACCGCAGGAGAAAAAAAAAAAACACCTACAAATTTCATAGGCACCACCTTGGTTCGATGGTTGAAACCCTAAAAATAATGGGATAAACCAATGGGATGTTTACCATCTATCCACTGGTGCTTCGGATTTCTCAACCATCCACAGTAGCTGATAACATGACCCACTTATAATGGTTGACTAACCAGTCATAATCAATAATGATAGTAATATATAGTAATTATTGATTGATTATACCTCATGATCCACTAAGTGGAACTATAATGATATGATTATTGATTAATGAATATTAATGATTATTCTCCATAAATGCAGTAACCCCAGCTTCAATAATGGTTTTTCACCACAAAAAAAAAAAGTTGCCAGGAGATCCAAGAGTCGATTTGCCACAGGTCCATTGGATAAGTCGTTGTCACCTCCTGGTGACATTTTTTGGGCTGGAAAAACGGCAACTCTTTTTCGGGTCTTGGAAGGTTTGAGACCACTTGTCACAGATGCCAAACTATGTATAATTTGTATAATGTTAAGCCAATTTTCTGGGACATGTGCATCCAATTGAAAGAATTCAATGGAATTCGTATGTTGACATCCATGACCTCCACCCCTTCTCGTACCGAAGTCTGAGAAGTGGCTGGAACCAAAAGATGTCGCCTTGAAATCCAATATCGATAGGAATATAAACAACGAATAAATGCAAATCATATGCAATATAAGTACACATATTTCATAGATAAATGCATGTATATAATTAATTAGATGTATATTCTATAAAATAAATACATCATATAAATACATCATATAATATAATGCTGGTAGTATTATATATCATATATAAAGGAATTATAATACTACCAGCATCTACCAGCATCTACCAGCCTCTACCAACCCTGGCGTCTCCTTTCTCGAACTTCCCTCCGCTCTCAGGGGACGTTTGTTCAGATCCACAGCAACAACCACCCCTGGGAGCCGCACCCTGTGGACGTCTGTCTGAAAATGGTGGTTTTTTACCCAATCAACGATGGAAAAACCCATATTTATGTAGGTTGATTAATGGGAAAACATATGAAAACCATTGGGAAAAAAGATTGAACATGGCAAAAAAGATGGAAAACGATGATTAACCCTTGGGCTTGGGAATATCTTCAGGAAAAAAAACAATGTTCATGTAGATTGCACTTGATGTTACTTCAGCAGTAGGATCTACCATCCAAAATGTTCCCCTAACATTTTAAGGTTAAACATTGGCTTATCATAGTATCTTCAATCCAAGAAAAACAGATGGTCCCCATTCACTAGTTTGCTAGAAAACCCAACTCAGATCTAGAAAACTGGAAAGTTCCTTTGCTAGATCACGCGGTTATTTTGCACGCTGTTGTGTCATTTTCTTCAAAAATACTGGGCCTACCGATGCTGAAAACATAGAACCATGCTGCGGGTGTTCTTAAAATCCAGGGGATTCCCGGAATTCCAGAAATCGATTTGCCTTGGATGTGTCTAACAAACCATTTACAACCAAACAATGCAAATTGGTTGCGTACTATTCTTTTAGACTATAGTAATGCCCACGAAACGTCTTTCCAGGATGGTATACATGATGTTTAATGATGTTTTCCCCACAATTTCTAGGTGTCCAACACTTTTATCAATTTTGTGGATGCTATAGTGAAATACCCAACATACCCAGCCATTGGTTTTTGATGTTTTTGAGGTGTGCAGTGCACCCAATGGTAGAGTTGATGACCAAGTTGCATCGACGCTGCACCGGCCAAGAGAGCAACACACCAAGAAGCACCGCGGACAGCGGGTCCTATCTACTGTGCCTATTAAGGAACTTGAACCAAAGGCATGAAAGAGAAGTTCAGCAAGTTTATACCATCCAAGCCTTTTCAAGAGCTGCAAAACATATCTTTCATCTTGTTTTCTCTAGAAATTGGTGTAGGCAACCCAATAGTAAACGACCCGCAAAATCACCATAAATGGGTGGTAATCATAAACCATCCCTGGAGGGATCGCCCAAAAATTGGAGCAGTTTTTGTGGATCTTATTGCGGCATCATGTTGGGGTGCCGTCATGGCTGCCACAATGATGGGTAAAAAACCAGTATTATATACTCACAAATCATAATAATTATGGTATGTTCAAAGGGTTTCCCATCATATATATATAGAGAGAGAGAGAGATTGAGATGTACTGATATACTATAGGCCCTCTAGTAAACTAACACAGCAACGAACAATCACCATGTTAATAAGTAAATCAAATATACGTACAGCAACTGGTCAATGTTCCATAGTTATGTTACTTTACTGGCGGGTACTTAAACATTAATCAATATTAACATATATTAACCATATCAAACGCTGAAATTTACCCATATTTGATATATTATAATTATATATATATATTAAAATAATAATAGTATATATAGTACTTAGTACAGTATATGCAATATACATTTAAAAAAAATATATATATCACATAGTTCCATTCACAAATCACCACATTAAGCGCTGGTGGAACTGACCCATTCCAGACCGTTAAAGCCACTTCGTCAGCCAAAGCTTGAGCCCTGAACGTTCCCTGCTTCACCTGGGAGAAGCATTGGGGGAATGGGGGATGATTGTGATGTTGATGACCTTCTGGTTGGTGGTTTCAACCCCTCTGAAAAATATTAGTTAGTTGGGATGATTATTCCCAATATATGGAAAAATAAAAATGTTCCAAACCACCAATCATCCTTTAAACATAGTTTTTGAATAATTCAATAATGTCAACCATGGACAAATAAACATCGGGGGTTACCAATTAAGGATCAATTAAGTAGCATTTCTTATCACTATTTTGGAGGCTACCCCCATATTCAATAAACCTATGGTTTATAAATCCAGACTTGACATTGCAATGAAACTCCCGATTCGACATGTGCCCTGGTTCCGGTTTTTACAAATCATGTTTTTCCCCACCTGCCAGGTGAGGGTTGTTAGATTTTATGTCAGTTGCCTCCTCCTCCTGCCTCGTCCTCCTCTCCTCCTCCTCCTCTCCTCCTCGTCCTCCTCCTCCTTGTCATCCTTGTCGTCCTTGTCGTCCTCGTCGTCCTCGTCGTCCTCGTCGTCCTCGTCGTCCTTGCTCAACTGCGACCCGCGATCCACAATGTTCTCTGCCGGACCTCAACCACGACCACCCACGCCCAGTGTTCCCTGCCGGACCTCAACCACGACCGTCCACGCCCAGTGTTCCCTGCCGGACCTCAACCGCGAGTATCCCCGCCCAGTGTTCCCTGCCGGACCTCAACCACGACCATCCACGCCCAGTGTTCCCTACCGGACCTCAACCGCGAGTATCCACGCCAAAAGATATGCCACATAGAGTGCCAGAAGATATGCCAGATAGAATGTTAGAAGATATGCCAGATAGAATGCCAGAAGGTATGCCAGATAGAATGCCAGATAGAATGTCAGCTAGAATGCCAGAAGATATGCCAGATAAAGGCCAGAATGTTTGCCAGATAGAATGCCAGCAGATTTGCCAGATAATATGCCAGAAGATATGCTAGATAGAATGCCAGATGGAATGCCAGAAGATTTGCAAGATAATATGCCAGAAGATATGCCAGATAGAATGCCAGATGGAATGCCAGAAGATATGCCAGAACATATGCCAGAAGATATGCCAGAAGATATGCCAGAACATCTGCCAGAAGATATGCCAGAACATCTGCCAGAAGATATGCCAGGTAGAATGCCACAGAAGATATGCCAGATAGAATGCCAGATCGAATGCCAGAAAATATGTCAGATAGAATGCCAGAAGATTTGCCAGTAACAAAATGTATAAATGTCATGGTGGGGATCACACGAAGTAAAGTAATTTTTTCAGTTGGTATATAATGACTATGTTGGTTGTTTTGATCTGCGCTGTGTTTTGGGATACCTCCGAGCTTCCGAACAATTCCTGTCGGGGTGGGTCGCTTGGGGTACCCCGCCTTGAACGGGCGAGGGGCGAGGCTGAACTCACGATATGTATAAATATATAATGTATGTATTACGTACGTGCATATGTCTGTCTGTGTGCAAATGTACATATAAAATCAGATATTTATGATAAATACATAAAAGATGTTCGTAGAGTTGATGTTGGTGATAATCTCGGTAACTGATCTGTATCTCAGCATGTGAAGAAAAACATCAGCGGGACATGCCTTTTAATCTCCATGAATGGCACAGCATTGACCCCTTAGATGGGGATTCGAGGTGTACTACAAACCATCATTAATAAATTGGTTTATTAATCATTAACATCCATAAACTAATCATTATATAACTATTATATAACCATTATTGCAGTTTAATAAATGAACTATACAAAACCATACCAAACCCAGGTTTGCCCACCAGACGCATGGGCAACAACATCTATACAGAAAACAAGGTGGGGATACTCTACATATGTAGGAGAACCATGGCTTGGTATATAGGTAGACACCCTTCATGTTCAAGCAAAGGAACCTAATTTTTCTGGGGCTTAATTTTCACTTGCATAACTCGTTCTAAGCCAGAAGAACGGAATAGGATTACTATATATACGGAGTGTGTATATATATATATATCTCTCTCTCTCTCTCTTCTATAATGTTCTCTCTCTCTCTATATATATATATATAATCATATATTATCCATACGTTATATCACTTCCTCAGTGCTCTGTGGAAAAAATTGAGGACTGGTAGTGGAATCATCAAACCTGGCGGCGTTTGCCCAGGCCTCATGACATTGGGTCCACTCTTGCTGCCTTTGCCCTTGCCTCAGACAACAATTTAAAAAACTGATGGCATCGCCATAGACCCACGAGGCCAAAAACGATTTTTTAAGAACTTTGTTTGACTCCAAACAGCACTGTAGCACTGGAGCACTAGGAAGTGAAAATGGATGCAGAATTCCAGCGATTTCTGAGGTTTGGGCCACCCGCCTAGCGCAGTTTTCTGGATCTAAAAGTTCTGAAACAAAATTCTTCTAGGTAAATCATGTGATCTTGTGAGGTTCCATCCAATGTCATCCTTTATGTTGGAGATTTGCGATTGATGATTTTCCTTGCAATCGTCTGATGGTTGAAAACTGCTGCCTCTAAATTTGGAAGGTTCTTCTCAGCACAACAAAAAAAGCGGATGGCTGCCGCCTTGCCCTTGCCTTTGTATCGGACGATGATGCCACCAGTCATGGCAAGTGAGTCCGGTTTCGATTCTTCGGGCATCAACTCTTCCTGGTCAGATGTGATCAGTTGTCAGGAGGTCAGCGAAGTTCAGTGTATGGAACCACCAAGAAAAAAACACGCACACACACAGATATATACAATATACATATGTATGTATAGGTATATATATATACATAACATATAAATATATAATGTATATGCATGTGTGCGCATACCATCGAACCATGTCGAACCCAAGTGACCCTGTGCGGTGGATGGTCTGAAAGAATCGGGTGAAATGGTGTTCCAAGTAGCTGTAAGGTATCACTGGGGGCCACCAGGTGCACGGTTATACACTACCAACTTAGCCACCATTCCTGCCCTTTCCAATATCAAATACCCCGAAACAGAAACAGTGGTTCAGTAGTGTGTTTATGTTCATTTTGGGCTCCACCATGTGGTCTTATTGTCCTTTGATCTAACACGGCCAAATTTGGATAATTACTGTCTGTTTCTTAAAACTTGCTATAGTATATTTATATGCCCCCATTTGTGGAAAAAGAATAATTTGTATTCAACTCAAAATCCAATTCAGTTGATGCCCCATTCATCTCCATACTGCAATCCTTTTCGTAAACCCCTCTACTATTCTTGGTTTATATCCCCGGTATCCCACAAAAAAGTCCCAGCAAAATGTCCACCATCCCAACTCCTTCAAGTATTCGTGGTCTCCGTGTGACCTCAAGGACGGGGAAGTTTCTCGGAGAATGGTCATCCGTGACTTGGAGGATTTGGGGGTACCCCGGGCCCATGACTTAGGAAACCTCCGTATGCCTATGCATCCTATGCTCTTAAGTGAGAAAATGTGTCTATTATGATCTATTATGTCTATCTGTGTTAAGGGTATGTCTGGGCTGGACTTCTATCAAAGTTTCCTCAACACAGAGGTTTCTCCGATGCGGGATGGCCATTTACCCAGTATTTCTATGTATTTCTGCTAAATTTGAGGTTTATGAACCCATATTTATGATATTTTATGATGGCCCTTGAGGGCCAAATGTATTTCCTTGGTGACCCAAATGGCCCGGCTAATGGCCATTGCCATAAATCACAATCACCTCAAGGGACTGAGGTCACCAGTTGGTGTACCCAAATTTGGGGTGAAGAATTCATGGGTCAAAATCCAAAAACTCCCGGACCAACATGGCCAGAAACTGGACCAACTTGGCCGAAATCGCCGGGCCTGGATCCTCCCTTTCGATGTCCTTTTCCTTTTCGGACCTCAGAAGGGCACTTGGAGCTCTCTCTGGTTGTTTTTTTGGGTAACATTCAAAGAATCGGTCTAGCCAAACTTTCAACATCATGTTCCCACAAAAAAAAATCGTTCAAAATAAGGGATGTTCCAAGTGGATTCACGCGGTTGATCTCAAACGCAGATTCCACCTGCTGGTCTCCTTGGGCCCTTTTTCATGGCAAAACATCACGGGGGGCAATCCCCATGACTCATAAAACTCAGCAAACAAGTTTTATTAATCCAGAGTTGACACCTCTTTTTCGGCCAAACATATTCAAACTCATCTATCCAGACGCATCTTGAAGGTGAACTGCCGCTCTTCAGCGGCTTCAGCGGTTTTTTCTTGACTTTGATGCTCACAGCCGTCCTCTTTTTCGGGCAGCGGAAATGGCAGGAGTCTGTACAGCTGTTCAGCCTGGCCAAAGATGTTCAATGATTCAACTTGCAAAGGCCACCAGGCAACATGTTAGGTCACCAGATCGGCCAAACTCATTAGCAACTTGGACAACTGAGACCCTCCAATGGACTCCAATGTTGACGCCCCTCGGTCATATTGAGTGAGAATTAAAGCACGCAATTGATGATGTTTGGCCCAAGATTACCATCGATTTGGATCCAAATGGATCCAATTTGCGATGTGTACTAGTACTAAACCACTAAACCACCATTTGTTGGGGTTACTAGGCCACTAAACCACCCAATTGTTGGGGTTTCAATGATGTTCGAACCACCCGGTCCATGAATCTTCATCTACATGGAACCAAAGATGTCACTGGAGAGCCGTGTCCCATCTAGAGATTTCAGGGCAACATTTGTGTGGCAGGCCGTCTCACTTCCTTCTCTTCTAAGCTGAGTCTGGTCCAGACCTGCCCATGCTGCGGTCCATGTGAAGCAACCAGCTCAAAAATGAAGGCCATAGAATCTGGCTGAATTGCAACTATTCACTAAAACTGAAATTTAAGGCCACTGATCTTCTCTAAGTGGCCTTGTCCCCCTCCAGCCATTTGGTGGATGATTCCCTGTGAGGTCAATAGAAATTATAACTACCCTCTGGTAATTTAACATAGCTATTGAAAATTGTCATTTATAGTGAGTTTTCCCATTAAAACTGGTGGTTTTCCATAGCTATGTTCGTTTACCAGAGGTAATCCAAATAGATTAATCATTGAATGGCCAAACTATGATCAGCCACCGGCAGTGGCATCCTATGCAAACCCGATAGTTGTTGGTCATTCATGGACATCGCGCAGGGGATTCACCATCAAATTCGGGGTACCGATGTTGGGAACTACATCTGCCAACAGACAGGAGGTTTATCCAATGGATACTACGGATACAATCAACAATCATAATTTTGGACAGCTCCCCAAGAACCAGCTTCATGATCTCCATGGTTCCGATGCACGAGAATCGATGGAGCAATCTTCCATCAAAAATGGAATGGCTATAGAGACTATAGAGAATAACTGGTTGGTGGTTTCAACCCCTCTGAAAAATATTAGTCAGATGGGATGATTATTCCCAATATATGGAAAAGTAAAAAATGTTCCAAACCACCAATCAGATAACCGATTAATGTTTGCACCCGATTAGTGTCCTGGTACCCTATTGTGAGAAATTTCTTGCTCCTAATTCAGTCACATGCAAATTGTTGGGGGGGAACTCTATTGTGAGATTTTTTTCCAGATGAGATTTTTTCCAGATTTTTTTTCATTTTCTTTTTCCAAATGCTTTAACTTTTTTTAAAAAAAAATATTTTTTCTAATTATTTACGTTTATTTATTAGATTTTTAATTTTATAATTAGATGCCTTATTAAACCCTTATTAAAAAAACAGCATCCAGACAATTTTTCAAAGGGGTACCTCATGAGTGGCTCAGTTACTCAATAATATAATTGTTTGGATGGTACTCTATTGTGAGCACCAACTTTTTGGAGTGAAAAAAAAGCAAAACCCTTTCTCCACCTTTCTTTGGGTAAAGCTGGCCCTTTCACTTTAGAAAGCCATAGTTGTGTTAAAGCTTTAAAATGCAAGGTTTCCCAAATAATTAGATGCCTTATTAAACCCTTATTAAAAAACAGCATCCAGACAATTTTTCAAGGGTGTACCTCATGAGTGGCTCAGTTACTCAATAATATAATTGTTTGGATGGTACTCTATTGTGAGCACCAACTTTTGGGAGTGAAAAAAAAGCAAAACCCTTTCTCCACCTTTCTTTGGGTAAAGCTGGCCCCTTTACTGTAGAAAGCCATAGTTGTGTTAAAACTTTAAAATGCAAGGCTTTCCAAATAATTAGATGCCTTATTAAACCCTTATTAAAAAACAGCATCCAAACAATTTTTCAAGGTGGTACCCCATGAGTGGCTGAGTTACTCAATAATATGAATGTTTGGATGGTACTCTATTGTGCCAAGCAACTTTTGGGGTTGAAAAAAAATAAAAACACTTTCTCAACCTTTCTTTGAGTAAAGCTGGTCCATTTACTTTAGGAAACCATATTTGTATTAAAGCTTTAAAATGCAAGGTTTTCCAAATAATTAGATGCCTTATTAAACCCTTATTAAAAAACAGCACCCAGACAATTTTTCAAGGGGATACCTCATGACTGACTCAGTTACTCAATAATATAATTGTTTGGATGGTACTCTATTGTGAGCACCAACTTGTGGGAGTGAAAAAAAAAACAAAACCCTTTCTCCACCTTTCTTTGGGTAAAGCTGATGCCTTTACTTTAGAAAGCCATATTTGTGTTAAAACTTTAAAATGCAAGGCTTTCCAAATAATTAGATGCCTTATTAAACCCTTATTAAAAAACAGCATCCAAACAATTTTTCAAAGGGGTACCTCATGAGTGGCTCAGTTACTGAATAATATAATTGTTTGGATGGTACTCTATTGTGAGCACCAACTTTTGGGAGTGAAAAAAAAACGAAACCCTTTCTCCACCTTTCTTTGGGTAAAGCTGGTCCTTTCACTTTAGAAAGCCATAGTTGTGATAAAACTTTAAAATGCAAGGTTTTCCCAAATAATTAGATGCCTTATTAAACCCTTATTAAAAAAACAGCATCCAGACAATTTTTCAAGGGTGTACCTCATGAGTGGCTCAGTTACTGAATAATATAATTGTTTGGATGGTACTCTATTGTGAGCACCAACTTTTGGGAGTGAAAAAAAAAGCAAAACCCTTTCTCCACCTTTCTTTGGGTAAAGCTGGCCCCTTTACTGTAGAAAGCCATAGTTGTGCTAAAACTTTAAAATGCAAGGCTTTCCAAATAATTAGATGCCTTATTAAACCCTTATTAAAAAACAGCATCCAGACAATTTTTCAAAGGGGTACCTCATGAGTGGCTCAGTTACTGAATAATATAATTGTTTGGATGGTACTCTATTGTGAGCACCAACTTTTTGGAGTGAAAAAAAAAACGAAACCCTTCTCCACCTTTCTTTGGGTAAAGCTGGTCCTTTCACTTTAGAAAGCCATAGTTGTGATAAAACTTTAAAATGCAAGGTTTCCCAAATACTTGGATGCCTTATTAAACCCTTATTAAAAAACAGCATCCAGACAATTTTTCAAGGGTGTACCTCATGAGTGGCTCAGTTACTGAATAATATAATTGTTTGGATGGTACTCTATTGTGAGCACCAACTTTTTGGAGTGAAAAAAGAAACGAAACCCTTTCTCCACCTTTCTTTGGGTAAAGCTGGTCCTTTCACTTTAGAAAGCCATAGTTGTGATAAAGCTTTAAAATGCAAAGCTTTCCAAATAATTAGATGCCTTATTAAACCCTTATTAAAAAACAGCATCCAGACAATTTTTCAAAGGGGTACCTCATGAGTGGCTCAGTTACTGAATAATATAATTGTTTGGATGGTACTCTATTGTGAGCACCAACTTTTTGGAGTGAAAAAAAAAACGAAACCCTTTCTCCACCTTTCTTTGGGTAAAGCTGGTCCTTTCACTTTAGAAAGCCATAGTTGTGATAAAACTTTAAAATGCAAGCTTTCCCAAATAATTAGATGCCTTATTAAACCCTTATTAAAAAACAGCATCCAGACAATTTTTCAAGGGTGTACTCATGAGTGGCTCAGTTACTCAATAATATAATTGTTTGGATGGTACTCTATTGTGAGCACCAACTTTTGGGAGTGAAAAAAAAATGAAAGTAAATTAAAAGTAAATTGAAATCAATTGAAAGTAAATTGAAATCAATTGAAAGTAAATTGAAAGTAAATTAAAAGTAAATGGAAATCAATTGAAAGTAAATTGAACGTAAATTAAAAATAAATTGAAATCAATTGAAAGTAAATTGAAAGTAAATTAAAAGTAAATTGAAATCAATTGAAAGTAAATTGAAATCAATTGAAAGTAAATTAAAAGTAAATTGAAATCAATTGAAAGTAAATTGAAATCAATTGAAAGTAAATTAAAAGTAAATTGAAATCAATTGAAGGTAAATTGAAAGTAAATTGAAATCAATTAAAAGTAAATTGAAATCAATTGAAAGTAAATTGAAATCAATTGAAAGTAAATTGAAATCCTTTCTTAAGTTGATTGACCAAAAAAATGTTGAGGGGGGGGCCAAAAAAAGTGCGAGTTATAGAGTATCCTCAAATTGTTTAGGGGGGGGGCCCTCACACTAATCAGATGCAAACATTAACCAATCAGACCCTGGTTTCTGCAGGATGTCCTTTTTTTTAAACCACGAGATTCCCTAGGTGAAACAACCTTGGCTTGGCCTCTCCGTCGGACCATTCCAGCTTGGCTGGTGGGCCGGGGTCATACACCCCACTGCACTCTCGGTCAAGAAACATCGTCACCTCATGGGCCAGTCCCAGATTCTCCATGGGCCAGTGCATCTCTATCTACCTTCATAGGTAAATGTTGCTGGGCGTTCATGTATAAATACGTATTGATAGAAATACACATATGATACATTTCTGCGTTCAGGGGTGCTCGTTATTTAAAGGCTTTCCGAAAGTCAATTCATCACACTGCTGTAGCCAAGTCGCAGCGCTGCGTGGGAAAATCGGAACGCGACTCAGAGAAGTTGGGGAAGCTTTCATTTTGGAATCCCAATACACCTGCGACAGGCTTCCGTGTGGTGAATTGGCATGCCAATCTTTATAAATATAATAGAAATAATATTAACAGACCAATGTATGAGTATGTATTGTCAATGTATGTATCTCATGTATATCTGTATGTATGGGTATGTATTGTTAATGCATGTATCTCATGTACATCTGCCTGTATGTATCTACATATAACATTATATAACTATATATACATATGAGCATGTCAACAAAGCTAACAAAACATATCTATCTATCTTGTCCTCTATCCACATCATCTTGAGAGCGTCATTCGCAAATTAAAGCACCAAACTTATCGCGGTTGAAGCCTTGTGGGAGTCAGGTCGAGACCAAAAACCTCCAAAAAGATATCCCATGTCTTGGATGAAGTGATCTCAGAACATGTTGATGGTTGGTAACTGGGAGAAAGGGAATGGGGGCCCCAATGCACCATTTGTTTAGCTGGCTTGCTGCAAGCCATGGCCCCAACTTGCAGATGATTTTCTCATGTAAAACCCTCCAAATTGCAGATGATTTTCCCATTAAAGACTTCATTTCTGCTGGGATTTGCCCATGAATTCCTCCATTTATAGCTGGGATGTCCCATGGACGCCATGGATCATGGTGTTTTTTCACAGCTCCGGAGGGTTTTTCGTGCGGTGACGTGCTGCGCGCCTTCCAATCTCGGATCAGCAGAGTGTACTGCCGCAGGCTGCTGCTCCAACGTCCTTGCAGCTGATCTTGGATCCAGCTGGAACCATCACCTGGGCAGCCAGGAATCCCCAGAAGGATATCCACAGATGATAGAAAGCCCAAGAAAGATAGAACAGTGATTTAGTACTATTGTAGTGGGAATTCACTTGATTCACTTGTTCTATCTTTTTTCGGATGACTACACATTTATGTAGTGAGATGATTTTCCAATCACACATTAGATGCTTTGCCATGTTTGATTACTTCAAGGTATGGAACAACTATCTCATTTTTTTGTCACTGGACCCATGTGATCATGTGGCAACATCCCAGCATCCTTGATCACTCAACTTCGGTCTGAAAAGCAACTGCCAATGAGCCTGAAAAGGTTTCTGTTCAATGCAATCGTCATGAGAGTTCCACATGACGAATGCATCAGCCATCAACTTCTCTGACTTATTATCTGGAAAAACTATAATTTTTCACTAACCTGAATAGTTCGGCCAGCTATGGGGATGATGTCCCTAAAATAAACCATGATTCCAGGCGGTCCAGAGAACAGTGAAGGTCGATATAATTTACCGGAAATACTGTCCCATCATATCCCATGATATTCCCATGATACTGCCATTGATGTTGGTTAAATCACCATTTTTCCTATGGCTTCCTTTGGTTTTGTCAAGCCGCTCCACTGGAGTTCTGCGGGTGGACCCCAGACGATGCGCGCCGTGTGCCCTGGTATTTGGACCTGGGCGCCGGGACCTGGGACCTTGGGGAATTTCTCGCTGGATTTCAGAAAACAATGACGTGTTTCTTCGGCAAAAATGGACAGGAGATTTTTCAGGGGAAAATGGAACATCCTTTGATATAAATATATATATATAGATAGATATAGATATAGATATAGATATAGATAGATATAGATATAGATATAGATATAGATATAGATATAGATATATAATATAATATATATATATATGTATGTATGTATAGTGATGCATATATAGGTATATAGATTATATATGATAATATAGATAGACTAATAGAGAGATGTAGATCTAGATCATTTTTTCTACCAAACCCTCCATGTACAAGGGATGTCCCAGCGGCCTGCCATTTTTGATGACAGAGGGTATATCCCCATGTTTGATGGTTCATATCCCCCGGCTCTTATGTCCTTATGACATTCCTATTAAATCCCAATGATCCAATCATTTTCCCAAAAATCCCTATTCTTGTTGCTCCCATCTGTTTCCCCATAGATGACCTAATCCCTATAATCTAAATGGGTAACATGTCCTATTCTCGTCTGTCAGCCCACTTATTTCTTGCCCCAATATTAAACATCCTCCAAAAAAATGGTTTAGTAGCTGATTTACACATAGTTGGTAGCATTTAGGGGGTGTTTAGTATGAATGGGGGATGGAATTCTTATAGTTGTTCCATTATTTTCCATTAAAAACAAATGCTGCTATTTGGTAATATTCCCATATCTCCATTGTATCTCCATGATAACCAGTAGGTCAACATTTTATAATAATATGCAAATATTTCCATAGATTTCCTAAGGCCGCATAATTCATCTAAATGGCTAACATCTCGCTAGTCTTCCTCGTTGACCGCTACCCTCTGGTAAACTAAGAGTTTGCTATTGAAAATGGCCATTGAGTTCGTTGATTTACCCAAATAGCAAACTGTGAGTTTGTCAGAGGGTATTAACCAATAATCATCTAGTTGGGTTAACATATGCTAACCATCTATTACTACCATGTATTAACCACCTGTCTTTAAGGATATCTTTTATAACCAGCGTGGCCAGCGATGGCACCGAGCCACTCGCAGCCCGGGCAGGGCCTCCAGCGGAGTGGGATATGCCACGTCCTTCTTCCAGAGCTTCAAATCTCGGAAAGCCGCCTCAGCGGGGATCCCTGGTGCAATGATCCCAAAGGAAAAACGCCATGGGCCATGGATGAAGTGTCCAAAAATGTAGGTGTTTTACCATGGTTTAGCAATTAAACATAGTGATTTCACATGGTTTAACTATCATAAATAGTGGTTTCACATGGTTTGCAGATCCAAAATTGGGGTGTCACATGGATTAAGTATCAAAAATAGGGATATGTGGCATGTGAATGGATTGTGTTTGGGAAAATCTACAGGAGCCCACGGCTTTTTCCCATCCAATTGGTGGTGCTGCAGTGCTGAGTTTTCATGGTCCAATTCGGGGAGATTTTGAAAACCCCACACCGCAAGGTGCACATCAATTAAGCAGTACTCAAGTTGATTCAACTAAGTTCATGGACTTGAACTCAGCTTAAGCTAATTCAAGCAAGCATTAACAATCCCATAAATAGATATAAATGGATATACATAGATATATAAATAGATATAAATAGATATATAAATAGATATAAATAGATATAAATAGACATAAATAGATATAAATAGATATAAATAGATATGAATAGATATAAATAGATATAAATAGATATAAATAATAGTTATTGGATTAACTTAGCAAGTACGTACCAAATTTAGCGATTATGACTTGGACATGTCTCGAACTAAGTGATAGGGGCTTACAACTGGAGGCACCACCGTGTGTTCTTCTCGGATTTTCTGCTCGTACTTGTGGTTTGTATCAGCTTGCTGTGGTCACAGCAATGGGATGGAGGACACATCCCCAATTTAGATTGTCCTCCAATGTGGTTCCCCGCAGTTACTTTGTTCGGTTATAATTTGTTTATAAATCGCATTGAGTCATTGAACATAATTCATGTATATACTATAGTTATATCCACCATTAAACCCAATCGCTAGCAATGTGATCGCCAACTTTCCTATCGTTTGCTATGTTGGTTTATAAATGTCAATTTAACTTTTTTTTTCGATATTGAGATATGAGTTTCATTGGATTTCATGATATACCCTCCGGTTATTTAACATAGCCATGGTATAGATGGCCCATAGAAATAGATGGTTTACCTATTAAAAATGGTGATTTTCCCTGGCTATGTTAAAGAACCAGAGGGTATCCAGCCATATTCACCCTCAAAGTAGGCCTGTTTGTTGCTGCGCCACGGCACCACCGGCACTTCGTCGCTCCTTCGGAGCCAAACTCCCTGGTGCTCCAGCAGAAATCGTCGCGCGTCGGCTTCGTCTGCCAGGGAAGTGACATCTGAAAGCTCCTGCACAACGTCATTGCTGACCATGGTTCATCAATGGTACCCATATGCACCATGGTGCTGGATTTTTCACCAACATTTGCCCGAACAAAATCACCCAAATGTAGGTAGTTATATACCATACATGGAGCATATGGGGTATGTTTACCATTGAAATTATGGAGATTTTAGAGTTGATTTATGTTAGCTAAGTTGGTTTCGACAAAACTCCAATCACTGTTGGATTGGCCATCACTGGGGGGGGGCCAAATCATGGCCCATGGTAACTACCCACGGTTCAAGTGTGCAAAGGATGACCCTAAAGGCACTGCTTTCCCCACTTTATATCCAGTATTGTTTCATGAAATCCCGACAACTTTGTTGGTTTATATCCCCATTCCATCATATTCCATCCACAGGTTGATAGACACATGCCAGTTACTTGATGTCTGAAATCCGCAATGGCCCAATTGGTTCACAAAAAATCATGGGGGAAAAAAATCATGTGGCCATATGTGGCCCAATCATCAACCACCCCGGCAAAACTCCATATTTCATGGCTGCTATGTGGCCACCATCCCCTGTGACCTCGCTCGAGTCCTGCTGCACCAGGCCTGCAAGACCCAATTGACGCACCACCTGCTAAAACCGGGCTGCGCCAAAGGCCGGGTCCAGTGCCATGTGAAGCTTCGGAACTGTTAAGAGTAGAGTAGGGTAGAGTAGACTAGATAGATAGATCGATCGATCGATAGATTCTGTAAATAGATTATATATATATATGTGTACGTAGACAATGGGAAAAGATGTATGGGGAATGACCTTACAATGATTCACACGACACATGATGCCGAAATAAGGTCATGCGGGGATGATTCCCCGTACCAACCTTCGCGCCTGGCTGGCCACATCTGGGGTGTCTGGGAAGACCGCCGTGACGGCGCCTGGCAAAACCCTTTGGATGAACTTTGTTGGTATGAGAAAACTGAGAAAACCATCTATTTTTCTATCTGTGCGTCTATCTATCTATCTTTCCATCCATCCATCCATCCATATATATATATCATTATATATCTATTTTTCTAGCTAATCTAATATAATCTATATAATATGATATAATATGTTTATCTATTATATATCTAAATATATCTAAAATACTCTATTCTATCTAGCGATTCACCCATATCCATCTATACATGACATCAATGATATCCATGACCCGTGGCATTTGCACGGTATCACAACATCTGAAATGGCTCTACCCTGGACTCCGGAGCTATGGGTTAATATCAGATCAACCAAACATAAGAAAAGGTACCAACAGTGAATATATGTAATATCTCCAGAATATGTGAATTGGATTGAATTGCTATACATTGGAATCATATTCCAACTCACAAAGTTGAAACATCCCGAATTTCGGAACCATTTCACTTTCCAAAAAAAACGCATGGCCACATGGCGAGGTTGCAGGAATGCGGGCGCCAAACAACCTTAAGGCCAAAACATCAAATGCCCAACTGCGATATTCTGGAGATTTCCAGAGAACAGTTTGCTATTGAAGCCATGGCCATTGAGTTCGTTGATTTACCCTCTGGTTATGACTAACAGTTTGCCATGGAAAGATCCACCATTTTTCATCGGTAAACCATCTATTTCTATGGGCCATCTATACCATGGCTATGTTAGTCATAACCAGAGGGTAGAAATAACATGTCCCTTTATTGTCCATAATACCGATGTCATTGTTACTATTGTTATTATCATTTCCGTTGTTATTATCATGATTATTATGATGATTATTGACAATCATAATGATAATCACCATCATGATAAATAACCAGATGGTACCCATTAAAAATAGTGATTTTCCATAGCAAGCTGGTGTTCCATGAGCTCCCACAGGCCACCAGTGTTCCCCTGACTTGGTCCTGGATTGGTTTTCAGAGTCAACCCCAATGAGGCTTCATCATGCCCAGGAAATCATATAGAAAAAACCCATCAAAATGCCCGGGAAATCATATAGAAAAACCCATCAAAATGCCCAGGAAATCATATAGAAAAACCCATCAAAATGCCCAGGAACTCATATAGAAAAACCCATCAAAATGCCCGGGAAATCATATAGAAAAACCCATCAAAATGCCCGGGAAATCATATAGAAAAACCCATCAAAATGCCCGGGAAATCATATAGAAAAAACCATCAAAATGCCCGGGAAATCATATAGAAAAAACCCATCAAAATGCCCGGGAAATCATATAGAAAAAACCCATCAAAATGCCCGGGAAATCATATAGAAAAACCCATCAAAATGCCCGGGAAATCATATAGAAAAACCCATCAAAATGCCCGGGAAATCATATAGAAAAACCCATCAAAATGCCCGGGAAATCATATAGAAAAACCCATCAAAATGCCCGGGAAATCATATAGAAAAACCCATCAAAATGCCCGGGAAATCATACAGAAAACCCATCAAAATGCCCGGGAAATCATACAGAAAAAACCCATCAAAATTCCCGGGAAATCATATAGAAAAAACATCATATAGAAAAACCATCAAAATGCCCGGAAATCATATAGAAAAACCCATCAAATGCCCGGGAAATCATATAGAAAAACCCATCAAAATGCCCGGGAAATCATATAGAAAAACCCATCAAAATGCCCGGTAACTCATCATATCGAACAACCCATCACAATGCCGGGAATCATATAGAAAAACCCCATCAAAATGCCCACGGAAATCATATATAAAAACACCCCTCCAAAAAATTCCCGGATAAAATCATATAGAAAAACCCATAAAATGCCCCGGGAAAAATCATATAGAAAACCCATCAAATGTCCGCGGGAAATCATATAGAAAAACCCATCAAAAATGCCCGGAATCATATAGAAAACCCATCAAAATGCCGAGAAATCATATAGAAAAAACCCATCAAAATGCCCGGGAAATCATATAGAAAAAACCCATCAAAATGCCCGGGAAATCATATAGAAAAACCCATCAAAATGCCCGGGAAATCATATAGAAAAACCCATCAAAATGCCCGGGAAATCATATAGAAAAACCCATCAAAAAGCCCGGGAAATCATATAGAAAAAACCCATCAAAATGCCCGGGAAATCATATAGAAAAAACCCATCAAAATGCCCGGGAAATCATATAGAAAAACCCATCAAAATGCCCGGGAAATCATATAGAAAAACCCATCAAAATGCCCGGGAATCGATATAGAAAAACCCATCAAAATGCCCAAATGCCCGGTGAAAATCTATAGAAAAACCCATCAAAATGCCCGGGAAATCATATAGAAAAACCCATCAAAATGCCCGGGAAATCATATAGAAAAACCCATCAAAATGCCCAGGAAATCATATAGAAAAACCCATCAAAATGCCCGGGAAATCATATAGAAAAACCCATCAAAATGCCCGGGAAATCATATAGAAAAACCCATCAAAATGCCCGGGAAATCATGTAGAAAAACCCATCAAAATGCCCAGGAAATCATATAGAAAAACCCATCAAAATGCCCGGGAAATCATATAGAAAAACCCATCAAAATGCCCGGGAAATCATATAGAAAAACCCATCAAAATGCCCGGGAAATCATATAGAAAAACCCATCAAAATGCCCGGGAAATCATATAGAAAAACCCATCAAAATGCCCGGGAAATCATATAGAAAAACCCATCAAAATGCCCGGGAAATCATATAGAAAAACCCATCAAAATGCCCGGGAAATCATATAGAAAAACCCATCAAAATGCCCAGGAAATCATATAGAAAAACCCATCAAAATGCCCGGGAAATCATATAGAAAAACCCATCAAAATGCCCGGGAAATCATATAGAAAAACCCATCAAAATGCCCGGGAAATCATGTAGAAAAACCCATCAAAATGCCCAGGAAATCATATAGAAAAACCCATCAAAATGCCCGGGAAATCATATAGAAAAACCCATCAAAATGCCCGGTAAAATCATATAGAAAAAACCCATCAAATGTCCGCGGGTCAATCATATAGAAAACCCATCAAAATGCCCTGAAATCATATAAAAAACCCATCAAAATGCCCGTGGATCAATAGAAAAACCCATTCAAATGCCGCCAGGAATCATATAGAAAACCCATCAAAATGCCCGGAAATCAGATAGAAAAACACATCAAATGCCCGGGAGATCATATAGAAAAACCCATCGCAAATGCCCAGAATCAATATAGAAACCATCAAAATTCCTCGGAATCCTTTAGAAAAACCCATCAAAATGCCCATGAAATCATATAGAAAAACCCATCAAAATGCCCGTGAATCATAGTAGAAAACCCATCAAAATCCCCGGAACTCATAAGAAAACCCATCAAATGCCCGGAAATCATATAGAAAAACCCATCAAAATGCCCGGGAAATCATATAGAAAAAACCCATCAAAATGCCCGGGAAATCATATAGAAAAACCCATCAAAATGCCCGGGAAATCATATAGAAAAACCCATCAAAATGCCCGGGAAATCATATAGAAAAACCCATCAAAATGCCCGGGAAATCATATAGAAAAACCCATCAAAATGCCCGGGAAATCATATAGAAAAACCCATCAAAATGCCCGGGAAATCATATAGAAAAACCCATCAAAATGCCCGGGAAATCATATAGAAAAACCCATCAAAATGCCCGGGAAATCATATAGAAAAACCCATCAAAATGCCCAGGAAATCATATAGAAAAACCCATCAAAATGCCCGGGAAATCATATAGAAAAACCCATCAAAATGCCCAGGAAATCATATAGAAAAACCCATCAAAATGCCCGGGAAATCATATAGAAAAACCCATCAAAATGCCCGGGAAATCACTGGCAAATCATATAGAAAAACATGTCCAGCATCGAAATTTCGTGGACATTGTGTTGAGGTCTTGGATTTGACCGTGGAAAATCACATAAACATCCGTAAGCCATCATGAAACCTAAACTAATTCCCGTCCACACGAACCAAATCCGGACCATACTCCAAACCATTCCCTTAAATTCCCGGTTAAAGTTGTGCATAATAAGAACTCATTTCGACAAGTAATTAATAATAGCACAAGACAACAATAATATATAATGTGGTATCATGTCAACCCCGAATTGATGAACCATCGTTTATTCTGCGGGCGGTACCCTCCAAATAGTGATAGTATGATGCTTATAATAATTGGTCCCCCAAACTTCAACAGCCAATGCGGTTTACGAATCCATGGATGGACATAAACCATCATAAACCAATATTATATTCACCATAAACATTAAAAATCATCATCCCACCTCCATCTCCAGATGAAGCATCAAAATCCCATCACCAGGGCCTTGATCTTCCTGGATCTCCGCCAGTCGCATCTCCGGCGTCTCCAAGGTGGAGCCGGCCGTGCTGCGCCGGCGCTTCTCGCTGTCCGCGGTGCTCAACCGCTGCAGCGTCAGCGACGGCGAGGAGCGGCTGGAGGTGACCGAAGCCACCGAGGGCGCGACGTCGCGGGGGTCCGGGAGCAACCTGCAACGGGGTGCCCCGGGGTGCCCCCCAGGCCCCAAGGTTCCAAGAAAAAATGTCCTATAGAACTCCTTTACATAGGTCACCATTTGATATCTTTGGCCAATTTAGGCCTAAAATCTAGATATGTCCTTGCGTTTCATGAGAATGGTGGATTTTCATGGACTTTCATGGAAGATATACCGAAGTAGTTAATGGATGTACACGGGCCACATGAGAGTTTAAGGTTCCTGGTATTAAGATGGTGCAATCTACATTCATGATTGGTCTTGCAAATCTATTATGATCTCCCGTTGGAGGGGGCAAGGGCCGGGCAAGGGAATGAGAATTCAAAACCTGGGTCTATTGTGACAGTTTATCGGATGGCAAAAATGTTGGTTTAACTGGGATGAAAGATGGCAGGTTTCCTGGTATTAAGATGTATGAAAATTGTGTGAAGAAGGTATGAAAATGGAGTATCATCATTTTCCGCATTTACCCTTACGTAAATAAATGTCAGCAACGTTGAAAATCCATTGTTTCACATGGAAATGATCTACATGCATGGTGGATTTCAATATACCTTTGTTCATGGAGGTTTCACGGAAATATGACAAAAACATTGACATGCTTGGAGCATCCGAATGACATATCATCACATCATCCCAATGACCAGCCGAGAAACCCAGACATGATGAGGTCCTCAGAAAGTCTGGGCGGCTGCTTCCTGCCTTTTAAGCTTGGCTCCATGCCAAAGGCGTCTACTCCTGCGTGCAAACGCGCCAGGTCCATGGAGAGGACCTGAAAGTGGAACGCTGAAACACCCCATAAATGTGCGTGCATAATTGTAAAAAAAATAGATATATATTATGTATACATATACATATACGAAGATATATGATACATTCAATACACCATAGTGCTGTTATATACATTATATCTATACATTGTGTGGGTGTTATGCTCCCTTCTCCGCTACAAGCTGCGGCCGAGTCCTGAAAGTCCCAAAGCTGGATCCGCCCGGAAGTCGATCTCGGAGATGTGTTCGCTGCCTGCGTCCCACTTGAAGCCATGGCCCAGTCGAAATAGTGGATTTACCGTGATTTACCCATTGAAAATGGTGATTTTTCCAGAGTTATGTAAACGTTTACCTGAGGGTAATCAATTGCTTATACCCCCCAGTTATATTAATGGAATATCCCCCGGTTACGGGATGAAATATGGGTTATAAATGGATTATAAACCACTAAGTGGGATGCACATCCAAGAAAGCCAGCTATAGCAGCTGTGTGTGGAAACTCTCCGGCTAGTTTGACGGGTTATATGGTACATCCCCAGTTTGATGGGTGAAATGCATCTTAGATCTTACCATCGTGTTAAAAAGCAGTTCTTTCTCTATACATGTGTATATATATATACATATACAGTATAAAAATAATATGTACATATTTATATTTATATATATACATATACAGTAAAAAAAATAATATTTACATGTTTACATATTTATATTTATATCTATATCTATATTCAATTATATACATATATATATACACATATTATATCATATATAAGTACACGTATGATCACGTATGTATGAAATATCCTCAGTTAGATTTATAGATTATACTGCATTATTATGATGCAACCATGTTGAAAAGAAAACCATTTAGATATATGACGGACATATGTATATATATATATGTGGAATATCACCAATTGATGGGTTAAGTTATATCAGGGTGGCACCCCCCAAAGTTAAAAGATGTTGTAAGCTTGTCATTACCATCCCCAATAACTATAGATATAACATGATACCCTCTGGTAATGACTAACATAGCTATTGAAAATGGTGATTTATAGTGGATTTACCCATTGAAAACTGTGATTTTCCATAGTTATGTTGGTTTACCAGAGGGTATAACATGATATAACCCCCTTAAACCCTGGCTCTGGGAGTTGTTGTAAACCAACTTCGCAAAGAAAAAGTTGGCTGGTGCCCCCTGGATTTTTAGCTCCACCGGATTCCACCGGGATGCGCTGGATTGATTGATTGATTTGGTTGTGCTTCAGCCCATGAAAAGCCGGCAATTTTCGGGTATACCCTCTGGTAATTTAACATAGCTATAGAAAATGGTGATTTATAGTGGATTTTCCCATTAAAAATGGTGATTTTCAATAGCTATGTTAGTTTACCAGAGGTACCTCATTTGTCCATGAACTCATGTCAACTATTCATTGGATAAATCATTGGATAAATCATCATGAAATCATCTTCTTTTCTCATTTTCTCATCGACTCTCCATGCTTGTGGGTTAAAACCACCATACATCTGGGTCAAACCTGTCAAATCCCAATGTTCAAGGGTTAAATCAACATTTTTCAATTATTAAATCCCAATTTTCAAGGGTGAAAGCAACATTTTTCAATTATTGAATCCCAATTTTCAAGGGTTAAAGCAGCATTTTTATGGGTAACATCTCTATTTTCTGCGCCATTTCTTGGTGATTTCACCGCGACTCGTGGCTTCGTGTCTGGCGGAAGGTCTGGCGCCTTCTGTAGAGGGAGCCAGCTCCCATGGCTCTCCATCTGGGACGAAGAAGGTCTCAGGTAGCACCTGCCCAGTCAATGATCATGATAAAAACAATACAAGGTGGTGCCCCATAGTTAGCTAAGTTGGTTTATAACTCCAATAACTATGGTTTATGGTAGATATATCTATAGTTAGTGGGGTTTATAAACCAACTTATAACTGGGGGGCACCACCTTGAGCCATGGAAAATCACCATTTGTAATAGGTAAATCATCTATTTCTATGGGCCATCTATACCATGGCTATGTTTTTAATAACCAGAGGGTAGAAATAACATGTCCCTTTATTGTCGATAATACCGATGTCATTGTTACTATTGTTATTATCATTTCTGTTGTTATTATCATGATTATTATGATGAGATGATGGTTATTGACAATAATAATGATAATCACCATCATGATACAAATAGTAATGATGATATTAATAACAAACATCATAACAATAAAGGGAAATAAAAATAATAATCAGCGTCATGACAGTTTAAACATAACAACAATAATATCAATAATAAATAAAGAATGGTAATAACAGTCATTTATAAGAAATGGAAAATAATGATAATAGTCATAATGTCAATATACATGACATAGTATGTATACAAACAATTTTATGATCCATGATTCATAGTAACATACTACTATATATATAGCGTGTATTAATATACAGTGTATATATATATATATACAAACATATATACAAACTATTATTTGTTATATTGGAATAAAATATATATATATATAGATACATAGATAGATAGATAGATAAGAAATGGTTCAGTATTCGTTTATAGATGTTTGCTATATGTAATGTGTCTGCAAAATTGTGTGGAGCAGTGGGATTCATCGACCCTGCTCGCATGACAATCTCTCACTCGTGAATTAGAGGTACCTACCATAAACAAAAGGCCTATGCAAGGGAATATCTCCAGAAAATATTGCCTGATATGGTCCAGTACCTTCATTTTAGGGTCCCGAGATTGCCATTGACACATGTTAAGTATGCCTAAATTCTCAGCTAGAAAGGCACAGTTTATCAGTTTTACCCACAAGAATTCCCAGATAATGACCGGCCTCAGTCTCTGGTGTAACTGGTTCCGTTTGCACGCCTTTGCTCTTGCCTCGGCAAAATGCTATGTGTCACATCCAGTTCCCGGACAGGAACAGCAAACCGGCATCTGCTTCTCTGAGCCTTTGACTCCAACATGCCGCAGCAACATGGAGATAATGCCCGCTTCAAATGCTGGTGTCTACTAGTGTGTGCATATGCACACTATCTAGTCAGTCAGTCAGTCAGTCAGTCAGTCAGTCTGTCTGTCTGTCTGTCTGTCTGTCTGTCTATCCAGGATCCATCTATCTATCCATCTATCCATCCATCTTTCTATCTATATTGTAAAGATGGTACTGAGAAACCTGCATTTCCTGAGCAAAGACAATGCACATCACCGATACATGCCATATGCAACATCTTCTGTCATCCACTGCTCTTCATGGTGCCCAGGTACACTTTGGAACGCTGAGGGTTGCCAGACTTCTCTCTGCCTGGCAGGTCCCAATGGAGATCCAAAGGACCAAGCTTGACCGTCTGGCAAACATATCAGTTGTTGAGACTCTTGAGGCGTGTGATCTTGAGACTCCGTTCTGGGCCAAGATGTTGAGGATCCTTAGATTGAATTGTTTAGTACAGTCCTATGATGACACATTTTCTTGGGCATCGGGTCCTCGAATTTTGCCCACCCGATCATCCTTTCCAACTTGGAAGCGTACCAGAAGGTGGTGCGGTTCCTATGTTTCTTGGTTGAATTTGCTCGTTGATCTACCATTGGTTTACCTAGTGAAGTTAAACGTTTAACAACTTAGCCATCTATCTTATACATTCCTATGCTAATAGCAATTCACCAAGCTAAGTTCGCCTCAGGTAGCTACCCCAGTCCCAGTCCCATCATTCCAGATGGGGTGCCACCTTGAAACTGCTGTGTAGCTGGAGCTGAAAGTCCCTAGATTTCATGAAATATGCTTCCCCTCCTCTAGTCAAACATGGCTGGCTGCAAAACCCCGATTTTTTATAGAGGAGTTTCCCAGAAACCACGAAACCTCCATGGAGTTCGGGGATGTCAATTCGCATGTTTGACTCCCGAAGGGTAAATCTAACTACCAAACACTACAAATGAACTACCAATTCCTAGATTTCTATAGAGTTCTAGGGTAAACTTTGCTTAAGCATGGTTAAACCATCTTAAAAAATCACCATTTTTCTCGGTGAAAACGCCCCATCCCCAGCCCAACCTGAGACGCTTCCACCGCTTTCGCCACCGCACCAGCGAGCTCACTGGGCAACTCGGCTGCTGGAGATGGCGTCGACTCCTGCCACGTAGCAGGCCACGTAGGTTCCACGAAATGGCCTAGAAACTGCCATGGATTAATGGGATTTAATGGATTATAATGGAAGATAAATGGTATACAATGGTATACAACTATACTATACTGATCATTACTGAACTATACTGTATAAGAATCATTGCCAAAGGGTAAAACTCATGGAAAACTCATGGTTGCAGCATTGTTTTGAAGATGACATGGTCTAACACTTATGCAAAAATGGATTGAAGCATGGTTTTGGAAAAAAAAACGATATTATTTGAGGATAAGTGTGAAAAAATAAGAGGAAACTCACGGAAACTGACGGAACATGCTCCCATCTTTGAGCAAGAGTGGGAAGCACACAGAGGGGACTCTCGTAGATGGTGAATTTCATGGTTTCCAGGAGATGTTATGTTCCCTTTACTCAATCCAATGGAATATATTTAGATGGCATGGCATGATATTCCTGAACAATTACACCCAGGTCGGATGAGCCGTGACCCAGCAAAGCCAATTTTAGGAGGTGCCCAGTTTGGGTTCACGTTAAGTTGGTAAAGACAACTCCAATAATGGGTTCGTAGATCATAATAACAAACTATTTTTTACGGAAGCAACATAAACCACCAGTTACATCACTGGGTAAAATCCAATCTTCAATGCTTAAATCAACTTAAATCAACTTAAATCCCTAATTATGTTGTTGAGGGTTAAACTGTTCAACCGCCATTTTTTCACCATATTTCTTGTTGCTTCCCCCTTGTGAAATCACAGCGGCTCCGTCTCCTCTCCAGCGAGCGCTGAATCATCGTGCTTGGCCAAGGGTGCCGGGGGCCGACCTTGGGATGCTCCAGGATGATCCAGGGACCAGCGATGAACCAATGAATGAGGATTTAGCTTCCGGATGAATAGGATTTATGAATATTTATGAATATTTATGAGGATTATGAACCAACTGATCAGGATCATCAGTAATTACCAAATAATAGATACATATTCATGATCCTGAATGAATGGATTCCAATGGATAAATATCATCAGCAATGAGCCGTGGCCGGCCATGGCCACCTGTATATCCCAACTGCGGTGCGCCTCCAACTGGGTCCCCCAAAAGGCCAAGGCACTTCGACGGCACAGATCCTCTGAACAGCTGTTCTCGGAGGAACATTGGCCCATGGGTCATGGGCTGCGACTACGGCCACCTGGGGCACGTTTCGATCCAACCGACCCGAGGTTTGATGTGTTTTCCCATTGGCATTTTTGGGTGGATTTTTGGCGGGTAAAGGACCATTTTTGCATTTTTAGCGGCTCTCTTATCTTGCTGGTTGGGGAGATCAACCATTCCTTCCCTGGAGGGGATCTGATCGATGTACTTGTAGCTGCACAACATTGTGTAACAATCCGACAGTGCTTATGCGCCCACTTTGAGCCAGATTCACCAGGCATCACAGGCGACATCATATGTACTAGGGCACAGCAAGCCGCAAACAAACCGATGGTCTTGTTCCATGGAGAAAATGCTTGGGCTGCCAACTTCTAGTGTGACCTCCCAATAGTACGGCAAATACCCTCTGGTAACCCAACATGGCAGTAGAGTGCAACAATTTATAGGCGACCCAGCCTCCATGTTGGATTTACAGACCTATGGATTATAGGGATAAAATAGAGTAATCCTATGATTTATAGGCAAAACTCCATGGCTTGTTAGGGGACTTCCTCTTCCCAGCCATGTTTCATAACGAGAACAGAACGGCCGGCGGCCGGCACCGTTGAATCACCCATGCCGCTGGGAGCTGCCCAGGGCCCAGTTGGTAAGTGGTGAATAACCTATACATATACATTTCTAAGGAATATCCAATATATATATATGTATACATATATTACATATATATTAAAAAAATATAATATAAAATAATGCTATATTATATGATATAATAATATAATGGAGTATTATATGTTATGCATACTGCATATATTATTTATGTAACTGGTTTCCAAAATGGTTCTGAGCCGGGACACACATCCCATCGCCCTCCACGATTTCTGAGCTCGCTTGCAGCCAGTGGTATGACAGATCCTGAAGAATCGCCTCAGGGGGCGAAGGCAGACGTCACGTGGTTCGAACAAAGCCGCCATGATGCATCATATAATATAATATATATATATATACATATATAATATATAATAAATATATAATAAATATATAATAAATATATAATAAATATAATGTAACCCTCTGGTATTTTTGGGGGTTGGAAGATTATGTTCAACTAAAAATTGGCTATTCTCACTTGTCTTCAGGGTCTATGTTGACTTACCGGAGGGTATATATACGTACACACACACACATATATATATTATATATACATATATATATATATATCAGGGTTCAGATAAGGGGGGAGGAGTTGTGCAGATGGTTTTGGTAGATACAGAGCGGAATGCATAGGGTGCACAACTACAAAATGCAAGTGCATGTACTTTTTTTGCAGCTACACAATGAAGAACATAACTCTTTCTGGCTCGGAAAATAATTCAAAACCAGTACTACAAAATCCAATGCATCTGAAGTCAAAAAAATAGCTGAACGTCGGAATTTCTAACATTATTTTTCCCAATGACATTTTGTAGTTGGGTCTTTGCCATCCAAAGTTCCGACCAACATAAATTCGGAGAACATTTTGTAGTTGTCAATGATTGAATTTAGTTGGATCAAGTGTTGACCCCGTGCAGTTTGTTAGATGGTATTCTGTTAGATGACAAAATGCTAATGAGATTTTATGTTGGATGCTTCAACTAACTCAACATATACAACTACAAAATGAAAATGCATGATTTGAAAGGAATCAACTACAAAATGATTCCAAATACAAAATGGGGGGCACAACCCCTCCTGTTTGTACAAAAAAATCCTGGCTGGCAATCTGTACTGTAGCCCAAGTCTTCCCCATTTCGTAGCTGAAATTTGAAGGAGGATATATATATATATATATATGTGCATACACAAGAATTTAGACGAAAACATGTACAGATTGATATGCCATCCAATGTGTTACAGCAGTAAAAGAAATGATTTGGCGAATCTTGTAACACAAAACTTCAAGACCAAGCGCCATTCGAGGCCACGAAAGTGACAAAAAAATCGGAATTTCCATGGATTTGCCAAGATAAGCCACAGGCTCTTTGCTGTTTTTGGGATCTAAACAATTGAATCTACATGTGGAGGTCTCAAATTGCCCAAGTTTTTTCCATCGCCTGCTCCCGTCTCTTCGTACTGCATCACAAACCTGCCAAATCGCCAGAAGGGTTCATGGGGTTTCTCAGTCACGATGACAATAATCCGAATACTTGCATTCTACATCGTAGAACTTATATATTAACCATGTGTAACCCCCATCATTTTTCTGTGAACCTGCAAAATGTATCAAAATGTTGCAAAGTCCAAATATGTCCAAATTGAGACCATCTCATGGTCCAATCGTCCAATCACGTCCAATCGCTGCCTCTTCAGGTCCTCCTTTTCTTTGGACGCTTCTTCCACGTCGATTTTCCTGGCCTGGAAAACGGCGCCTTTCTTGGAAAGGCTTGGGGATTGCGCCTGGGCTCCCCGCCAAAAAAAACAACATAGAATAGATTCCCCACATCATAAAAAAGCCAAAGGTATCCAAAGGTCATCTTAAGATATCTTAAGCAGCTTAAAGCAAATCCAGGACATGTTGCAAAGTCCGGCCCCATGTCCAAAAGGATGCAAAAGAACTGTATGAAAACCATATTTCTCAACACGGGTTTGTATGAAAACAGGGTAATTACCAAAGAACGTGATGGTGTTTATCAGTCGATCACCATTTTTTATCCACGAAAGTAACCATTTGGAGGCACATCCCATTTTCAGACACATCCATGTTGTATGAACACGCGTTTCCTAAAGCGCACCCAAGTCAAACACCGTTGCTGTAGTCAATTGGGACCATCATCCCCCGAGGTGGATGGTAAATATCACATATAGGGGACCATTTTATATAGAAACATGACAGGAAAAAATCGTTGAAATCTATTGCAACCAACGTTAGTTAACTATATAGTACCAACACTAACTATAGATCTTTAAAGACTTTGAAGCCTCTAAATCTTCGGGGATTTCGGGGATTTTCAGCAGCCACCGAAATGATGACCGGCTCTTGTGCTCAGCGGCACTCACACCTGAAGTAGCTTGGAGTCATCGGGGATGCTCAATTGCTTCATCTGTATCTTGCCACCCGTCTTCCTGGCGTCGCCGCGCCGTGCACCGGTTAAAACCATCTGACTTGACTGAATCGAGCGTAGCCTCCAGCTCATTGAGTCGATTGAACTATTGCTTCAGCCCCCTGTATGTTAAAACTATATACTTGGTAACAGCCAATTCTACTTGGTGGTTCCAGCCCTGAAAAAATAATAATAACATATGGTCACGGTTGTCATTCTCAAATCATTGGGGATCATCGATCATCATCCCAGGTGGGGTGATCGCAACATGAAAAACATCTCAACGGATGAAGAAAAACATGTCAATCCATCATCCCTGGTGTTTAGCCCATAGGATGTTTTTTTTTCGGGATCAATCATCCCCGGGGATAATATTCATCAGAATTTCTTTCGTTTGAAACCTGCCAGCTGATTTTTGTTTCTTCATCAGCTTTCGTTGCTGAGAGCCGGGCTTCTGCAAAAGGTTGAACTGACCCATGGCCATGTCCTGGCGACAGCTGCCCGGTGCTGTGTTGAAACAGGTGGTAGCATCAATGGATCGGCTTAGGGGAAAAGATGGGGGAGGTTCCAATTTATGGGGGTATCATGGGGTACCCCCAAATGGATGGTTTATGATGGAACATCCTAGTAAAATGAATGATTTAGGGGCCCCATATTTTTTAAGGAAAACCTCCATAATATGCTTTCCATGGATTCAAGACCCAAATCATGGGGTGTTCCAAAAAAAAAGTCCCTGAAACCAATTCTGGGATACCTGAAGCAGGTATGCAAACCCCCACTCGGCCACTGCTTAGTGTCTGTGGGGTTATTAGTGCACCCAGTTATACATGGGATACCTCAGGAAATGGCGCCCATGGGCCAAAATTATTCACCAGTTGCCAAGGGCAATGACTCTCGAAGTGTTGAGTAGTAGAAGCTGGAGGCAACTATATTTACCCTCTGGTTATTTAACATAGCCATGGACAATCACCAGTTTTAATAGGTAAACCCAGGTAAACCATCTATAAATGGGCTATTTTCCATGGCTATGTTAGTCATAACCAGAGGGTAAATAATAAAAAGGTGCTTCTGACATCTATATCACGGTTGGTAATATCTGAAAGAGTCGATTTAACTGAAGTCCTGCATAGTCCTGCACTCCCGCGAGCTCACAGGATCATCCCACTTCGGAACTGGTTGTTGGAATGGGGAGCCATTTGACCCACATGGCAACCCCCCAGGAATCGTTCCCCCCCGGGCTGGGCTGTCCCCCATCTGCTCGGTTTTCTTGGCAATTTGGAGCGGTTGAGGAAGTTCCGCCCTGAGGTTCGGGCCGCCAGGATAGCTACATTGGCATCGCCCCCAAGGGATGGTTCAGTTGCTGTATAAAGCCAAGAACTATGGCTCATGCAGATATATCTATAGCCTCCATAACTCCATAGTCACTATATGTCTCTATATGTCTCTATATGTCTCTATATGTCTCTATATGTCTCTATATGTCTCAATATGTCTCTATAGTTAATGTTCACTCATGGGCTTTAATAATCTTTAATAGATAATAATAGAATATAATAGATAGATCTATAGAATCGTTAACTCATGGGCTAAATCAAGCGCCTCACCTTCCAGGATCAGGGCTCTGGCAAAGTCATCCGCGGAGCATTCCTCTCCTTCTCGAGGGACTCGATGAGAATCTGCTGCACCTGACCCATGTGACTTGGGATGAGATTGAAAGGGGGATAAGGTGGTAAAGCACGGTAAAGGACATGGTAAAATCATGTAAAATCCAGGTTTATGATGTAGTTTCTTCCTTTATCTCAGCATATCTCAGCTATCTCTCCAATATTTGTTGGCCATATGAACATGTTTGGGTACCCCAACGTTCCATCGCCATGCTTGATTGCCAAGGGTATAGCTACTTAAATAACATGGCAATCCACGCCTTTTTTAAATCTTTTTTGTTGGGGGAATCCTATTTGTTCATCAATTCTTCTTGGTGAAAATTCCTCATGGTTGATCGTCAAATCACCATTTTTGTGTGCTTAAATTACCATTTCTGATGCTCTCAAATCACACTCGTTTGATGGTCAAAGTGGTTAAATTCCCCAAATTTGAATCAACTTTGAAGCGTTCAACCGTTGCCTCCTTATCGAAATCATCCTCCGCAGCATGCCTGGGCAATCTCTGGATCTGGCGGAATTGCACCAGATCCAGTGGCTTTGTATTGCTGGTTTTACCCGGCCTGGTAAACGTTTACATAACTATGGAAAATCACCATGTCAATGGGTAAATCGAATATCGATGGCAAACTGTTCAATAGCGAACTGTTAAATTACCAGAGGGTATATCCTTGATACATTCATATATAATGCTCATCTTTATTATATCATCCTCCAGGAATCTCACGCAGCTGTGGTAAACATCATTTTATATGTATAAATAATTTCTCACTAAATGGTCGATGATCCACTTCGCAAACTGTTCAATCACAGGAGGGTATCTGTTGAACCACCCCCCCTCCAAGAACAAGAAAAACACAAACTGGCTGGTGGTGAATGATTGATAGATATAAATAGATATAATAGTGTGGGTATAGTTTGGGGCCCCAGGAACTTATATATATATGTATACATAATATATATATATATAGCACAAGTTTATGCAAAGAATGGAAACATATGGCTTCATACTCAATAACCAAACACGAGATAACACAAGCCTTGATTTCTGACCAAATGGTGCCTTCGGGGATTACCCCACCTTAGCTCCCAGACTTAATCACCAGGCAGCCAGAAACATCCACTATATGGTTTATGAATTGGGGGGGTATTCCCCCAAAGAGTGACAATCTGATACTTAAATGGTACCCCCCCAATTAAACAGCCGTTTGGGGTTTATTAATCCAGGGTTGACATTACCTGGCATGCCATCTTCATCTACGGAGAATGTAGTTGAATCCTCCGTTTATAGTTGATTGGCCTCTGGTAAACTGACAGTTTGCTGTGGAAAATCACCATCTTCAAAAAGAGGTAAATCGTGTAAATCAACGAACTAGATGAGCCATTTAAAATATCAATGGGATTTTCAGGATCCTAAAATGGCGGTACTGTACCATATAAGACCATATTTTGTGGGGATATTCCCTTACATAGGCCTAACAAATAGGCCTTATATATGGTAGGTACCTCCAATCAATCGGTTCCTGAGTCATGGCCATTGAAAATAGCTACGTTAGTCATTACCAGAGGGTATCGTATCAAATCCTCCATTGACTTCGGGGATTTGACCACGCTCCTGTCCCCTTTTGCGTCCCTTGGGCGTCCCCGGCTTCTGCACTTCGTCTCCGCGATCGTACCTCGGCTTCCAAAACTTGGATCATGGGAAAATTCACGGGAAACCTATGGAAACCTCAATATTTACTGGGAAAACACATGAGAAAAAAAAAATGGTTCTGCAAATTTTAACAATCTTTAACCAATCCAATGACTATTTCAACACACAAACCTAGTGGCATACTATGCCCCGAGTCTTACAATCCAAGTTGAAATGGCTGGCAAGGCTTCTTACAATGTCTTCCAGCTTTATGATTTCGATTTTTTGTGATCTCTGGGGCTCCTGTACATGGCACCATATTCCCACATTTTTCTATATTCATCATACTATTCCCATTCATCATTCCCATCTTGTAATGAAATGGTAAAACTAAGTGGTTCTGAGGCAAATGCGCATCTTCATCATCATCTGATTCACTGGCGTCTTCTTCTTCCGATTCCTGTCATGTGTTCCACGGTACCATGGGGATCCATGAGGATAAATGGACGCATCGTCTCTGTCCCCCCAAAAAACGAAACATCCGAAACAGAATCACGGGTCAAATGAATTGAAAACCCGTTCATTGTGGAAACACATGTGTTTTTATGTGTATATATATATATAGTTAGCATGTACATATATATATAATATAATATTTATATTATGTATGTATTATATAATGTATGTATGTATATATATATATGTGTGTGTATGTGCGTGTGTATCATGGTGCTATTATCTAGGAGATGGGATAACAATTACAATATCCACCAATCCAACAATCATTTAAAAAAAACATGTTGTTCATTTCAACTCCCTGGAAAAATATCATGGTTCATGTTGATTATCATCCCAGGCAGGGTAGACTTTCAAACAGAACTGGCTATAGAGACTGGATAGACTTTTTCAGGCACCCACCGACCATGACAAGATGAGCCATGAAAAATACCCCTATCCCATCTGAAAAAAACTAATTGGTTGATAGGTTTCCCATGGTTTCCCTACTATGGGTTTCGATAAAACACCCAATAAATCAGCTATAACATGCTATAACTCCCCATCTCAACCTACATTGGGGTGCGGGCACCACGGTAGGTAAATGGGTCAGAAAAAAAAAAACAGTTACAGTAGATGAATGGATAATATCCACTATCATATATGGAATATTATGGAATTATAGGGCTTATTTATATTAATACCCTCCAGTAAATTAACATAGACCCTGAGAATCGCCAATTTTTAAAACCAGATGGTATATTTTTACCATAGGGTCTATGTTAATTTACCGGCGGGAATATATATATATATATAAGTATTATATATATGGATGATAAACCACTTACTGGGATGAGCCACCACGGCCTCTTCGGAGGACTCCTCGTCCTCAGCAGTTGGGGTATGATTCAGGTTGTAGCTTCGAAAGTATTTGGATCCATGGGGATCTAGATTTTAATGGAATGACAGTCATATTCATCGTATACTTGGTATATCATATGCTATCCACATATTTTGACTTATATGTTTAACAAGAAATTATAATGCTATGTTAAATCATATGTTCAAACATTATTCCAATATGTGTATCCAAAAAATAGATTATAAATACAGTGAAGAGATGTGAAGATTGAATGCTTGCAAATAGATGCAAATAACCATTTTTTTTAAAGAAAAAAAAACATGGATCAGTAGCTGTTTATCAACGTTCATCATGTACCACTTTGTTTGGAGCAGGCATGGACAAACATATCGAAGCAATATCAGATACCATAATATTCAGTATGCCAATGTTTATTTATATGTATCATATACATCCGAAATTGCAACATATCATTCTTATTATGGTTATTGTGCTAGTGTTGTTATTATTGTGCAAATGTGTAATTTGACAATTACCAGGGTTGATTTGTATTGTAGCAATTGTCAATCCCCATTTCTACGTAAATTCATGGATGAAAGCCCCACTGGTGATGGGTTAAACAGGTTAAACCATTGATGGCTTCAGGATTTTTGTGGGTTTCCTTTGAGATCACCATTGATGATACCATTATCATCCATTACCCCCATCAAACACGAAACATATTCCCACTGATGGTTGCATCATGTTATGCCCCCCTTCAAACCCCAATGATATCCCAACATGTCTTGATAAAATGTCCTATGTTTTATCCATTTACCCCTTGTTAATTCACATAGCAATGGAACATCAACATTTTAGGAGGTAAATCAACTATGAATGGGCAACGGCAATGTTCATCGATTTTCCTATTCGCAAAGTGCTAAATTCCCAGAGGGTAACTATCTTGTGGTTGGGAAACTCAAGTCGTAGCTCCTTATCCTTCCTAATCACTGGATAGTACTCATCATCAACTTACCATCCTTTATCAATCATTTATCCATCATTATCCCCACACACATATCTATATATATATATGTACATTGTGTGTATTATCTCCCCATACTATTCATTATATTTCATGATCAAAAAACCCATCAAAAGCCATGAAAACCGATTGAAATCCTCATGAATCACCATTGAAAGTCTATCAAGACCCATTTAGAAGCTCATGAATCACCATTAATCACCATCAATCACCACTAAAGACCCGTGAAACACCCATTAAAACCCATGACACATCCATATCATCCATCAAAAGTGAGATAAACATGGGCAGATCCAGCTCCAGCTCCAAGCGTCTGAGCCGGAGTCGTCTTCCTCCGTGCTCTCGTCTTCCGCCTAGGCCGATGAATTTCACAAAAAATGCGCCGAGGGTCCGCGTGGAGTTCACTGTCTTTTTAAGGAACAAATTACTATGGTCTCTATATGTCTCTATAATATAATTGATATATAATATATATTGATATATATATAAGATATAGATGTAGTCAATGTAGTCGTTCTTTTTTGTTCTTTCCGCAAACTCATATATGATTTTCCACAACCACTGTTTTGAAAAACGGGAAGGCCTCATCGTCATCGTCATCTCTTTCATCCGCCTTGTCACCTCACAGGGATCGAGAAACACAACGCCGTCTGATTCCCTGTGGAGTCAAAAACCATGGGGAAATCGGTTTTTAAAGCCAGAAATTATGACCTACATGGTGGCTGTAAAATGTGTAAATCCACATCTAGATAGACTAATGTCAATGTAGAAATCTGTAAATCCACAGCTAAAATCTGTGACATCTGTAAATCATTGGTTCCATCCACATCTATGTCAATCTACTTACGGCAAACCTTTACCGTCCTAGCGGCTACCTTTTTCTTGATCGTAACGGACACCGACACCTGGAGATTCACAAAAGCTCGCACCTCCCACGTCCAGGTCATCTTTCTCCCTGTCCAGCAGCTTCAAGACTGCCTGCCACAGGTCCGAACTCCTGATCTTTGAAAAAGGGTGGAAGATCAAGGGCTTGATAGTGGATTAAAAATGTGTCTGGTCCATGAGTTTATTTTTTAATTTTCAAAATCGAATATATATATATAATATCCAACAATGGACATCATACTCTACCACTTAGAAAGATACGAACAAAACACATCAAAACACTAATGACATGCAAAATTGAGTCCTATTGGGATCTATTGAGCATGTCAAGTCTCCCCACCACTTACAGTAACTTTTTTGGCCACTTTGCACCCTTGCCTCGGAAGCATCCGACTTGAGCGTGGGATAGGTGAGGCGGGGCCTCGCAGAAGGATAGGGTGAATCGTAACCACCAGCGGGATGCTGTGGGAGAAGCGTCTATGATTGGAGTCTATCAACTTTGTATATGGTGGGGTTTTATCATGGAGAATATCTACGCATCTATATATCTATGTATATATATATATATATCTATCTATCTATCTATCTATCTGTATATCTATATATCTATATATCTATATATATCTATACATCTATGTTAATCATGGTTTATCTATATTTGGGGTTTATCAGAATCTTAGCCATGTTTACGATAAGGGTATACTGCCAATCCATCATTCAAGTGGTCAGTTTGACCCCGCGGAGGTTGGTTGAATCCCAGTGTTTTTGTTGATAATAAACATATTTAACGTATGCACATATTTTGAAGATTGTTATATACATAATTATACATGCATATAAACATATATGTGTATGTATATATACATATATATATATACATATATATATATTTATGTAGTTATATATGATATATATATATATAGATTCTAGCTGCGCAGTAGCAATACTAACTATGGACCCCCCAACTTAACTGGGTGCAGTGTAGGACTCCGCTGCGCGCCGCGCTGCGCGCCTCAGCCTCTCGAGGGTATCGTAGACCATGTTCATGAAGCGCTGTGGCAGCTCTCCCTGGCAATCGATAGCAAAAAACCATGGTGAGAAGCTGGTGAAACCATGGTGTTAGCCATGGAGGCGTTTTTTCAATCATGGTGACAAAAAACATGGGGATCCAACCAATGGATAATGGATGACAATGGTATATGATATATGGACAAACTTAGATGGGCCCCAATTAAAAGATAGATCTTCAGCCTGATAGTATCCCTTGTATGGCAAAACATTGAAGTACTAAACCGCTCAACCAAGGTTGGCCCAGTTCTATGTTCATTCTATGCTTTCAATTCTCGAACGCTCCAACCTTTTCGTTGCGGGCCCGCCTTGCTGTGAACGTAGCGGATGAAGAAGGTCAAGAAGCGGTCAAGCTTCTGCTTGGACTTGGAGCAGCGCTTAGCAGGATTTTCAAGAGCTGAGGACAAACAGTTCGACAGCCCCCAAGCCCAAGTTGTGAAAAAATGTTGAGTAGCAAACCAATGGCCGGACATCACGCCAAAAAACAAGCCGGTGAATCACGAAGAGGTGTTGACAAACACAGTGTTGATGTTTCTGAAAAAAATCCTGATGTTCATGGCAAAAAAAAGCCACATCATGATTTTCAGTGGCTAAAACAATGCCATTTGCATCCATGTGCACCATCCCCAGTCACAGTAAGTGATCAATATTGATCAATTGTTTTGTGATCAAGTCAGGGTTTGCCATAAACCTATTAAAACCTATTAATGATGGTTAATGTGATGTTAAGTGATGGTTACTAACAGTCACCATAAAATGGTGGTAATGGTAACCACTCCCAGTGGCTGGTTTCTCCGGGATCGCCGGGCCCCTGAGAACCCGGGCAGCTCCGCGGTCAAAGTAGTGGCCGCAGGTCTCAAGCAGCGCACAAACCTCGAGGTGCGTCCATAGGTTGGATGGATTGTAAGGGAAAATCTATAGGAAATGGGTTTTACCATCAAAATTTCGGGTTTGATATCAATACATTGATTTAAGGGAAATCTTCACCGGAAACCATGGTTTTTAGTTTTTACCATCATTTTGGGGGGGTCTTTGTTCTGTAAATGTTCCCTGAAACCAATCCATCGATGATAGGACCTGATAGAATCTCATAGAATCAGTTATTGAACAATAAAAACCATAATAAGGAAAAAACAACAATTGGCTTTTTATATCTTTTTATCTGATTGAATCCGAAAGCATAATGGGGTCCATGGTTTGTTTGTTGTTTTTTTCAGTGATCCTACCCGCTAATAACAATAGTTATTACGTGTTATTACAAGATTGATTAACTACAATGCCGGTCATAATATGTAAATCACTGATAATAATCTATCATTATCATTTGCTGATTGTTAGTATGATATGTGGCAGTATGATCGTTATAGAACAACAATGGGATTGATAATCATAAAATGTAAGGCTGGATGGGTAACGGAGATGTAACGGAGATGTTTGCCATGGCTTGGTACTGAGTTGATGCTCCAAATTGGCTTGGACATGTTATGGGATCAGATTCGTGGGATCAGCTGGATCTGCTCTCTCTCCCTCACCGTTTCATGGTCAACCTTTGGTCTGAATCAGCAAAGCGTTTCATAGATGGACACGGCCACAAACACTCTCCAAGTGGAAGACATGATTCATCTTGCTTGCAAATACCTAGGCTATCCTAGGCTGTTGCTAGCAGTTTACCTAGATTCTAGATTGCTGCTTTATCACTCTGGCAACATGTCCCATTGTTTCTTTGTCATAGCCCCATCGCATTGAGTCAAACTCTCTGGCGCCCTCGCGTTTGTGTCCCCCAAAACCTAGCACAAGGTCACAAGATCAATTAATGAATTATCTTAGGCCATCTTTGGATGTGTGTACCCCCATTTAGGCGGCAAACCATGGGCGGTATAAACCCTCCAACATTGGAGGTTTATTGTTGGTTTTACCCAACTCTCATCTGGACCACATCTTGGGGCGCCTTGAAGCAATTCGCACCCCCTCCCACTGAGCTCTGTCACCAGCTTGATTCGGAAGAAGTCCCAAGGTGCCTGCGGCCATCAGAACATCATGGAAGCCCTCGAATATGGTGCCCTTTTGTAAAGGGGCTCCATATTTTACTGGATTGACTTCTAGGATGTCTTTACGATTAAAGTCGTGGTTTTCACATGTTTCTAGTCATTAGTCCCAAATATCGGATTTTCATGTACAGTAACTGCCATTTTGATGCATTTTTGTTGGCGTAGTTTCCCATGCGTTTTCCCTTAAACTTACCTTCCAGTAAAGTAACATAGCTATGTAGATTCATGGGTTTCCCATCCGGAAATGATCTAGAAATGATAGATTGTTTCCATCTCGTTAGTTTACTCGAGGGCCCGAGGGTAAGCGTGTTTTGTTAAATCACTCCTGATATCAAAGATGGGGGCCCAAAAAATGCCCGAACCCTTGCGATGTTTTGTCTTTTTTGGCATTTTTCAACTGAGGGTAAACCATCGCGAACATGTAATTTCAATTAATTTCCAGGGTTTACTGGTGAAATCCCCCACGTTCAACTGTGAAATCTCAAGTCAAGTTCTATTATGGGCAAAAGAGGTTGGTAAAGGTCCTAATTGTTCACGTCACCCAGCAAAAATGGTGATATGTCATCTCCAACAGATACCTTTGAAGTGACGTTCAAAAACTCCAAAATCGGACATTGACCAACCCTTGCAGGGTTGGGCGCCCCTCGTTATAAGTTGGCTTATGAATCATCGCCATTAACTATAGTTATATCAAGTTATATCCTTCATAAACTCTAGTTCTTGGACTTCTAAACCAACTTAGCATAGCTTAGCTAACTATGCAGGGCCCTGTGGATAAATCCATGTAGGGGCTGAAAAAACCACCGCTGGTTCCCAGGACTTGCCACCTCGATGGGATGCTGTGGGTCCGCGAGAAGCTCTGGTAGTTGGCTACCGTCCTCTGCATCCTGGGATTTTCTGACGTGTTGTCTCTGGTAAACTCACAAAAAAAACGATGGAAAATCACAATGTTTAAGTTTAATGGATAAATCAATGGAAAATCACCATGTTTTATGGGTAAATCAGCGATACATTATATAAATGGCCATTTTCCAGTTCGCAAACTGTTAGTTGACCAGAGGGTAACATGATTTAAGCCCATCGGCATTGGAAAAACTCACCAAGAAATGGTGATTTGACCAACAAGAACAACTGATGTGTTCCCTAGAAAATGGTGATTTGACCGTTGGACATGGAGATTTCACTCGTGACATGTCTGCAAATGGGATAAAATGGGTATGTCTGAAAAAAGGGATTCTGGGACAAAATGTCACTTGTGTGCTCCCCTTTTTTTTCGGGGAGTCCGTGATTTTCTGAACCATTCGATTTGGGGGCATGGCCATGGTCCCAATTTTCAGACAAGGCCTTGGCTGGCGGCCCAACATGCAGTGCCAATGGGATCAACAACCTATTGGAAATCATATTAACTACCCCTGTGATGTTTTCATTTGGCTAGGATTAGCACATGTATGTTCATATATTGCTGAGTATCTCCCAATATGATTAAACCATATTAAACCATACTTTTGGATCCCCTTATGGGAAATCACTCCTACATAAAACGGCTCTTGTTTGGTGCGCGGGTTTGTCTGAACAGAGTGCCCCAAAATCCATTGATTGATCAATCATTTCCCATTCTCCGACACCCCAATTCCATTGTTCATTCGTCAAATCCAAATGTTCGACAATCGAATCCTCATTTTTTTTAGGATCATCGGATAAGCCCATTTGTTTGTACAGTTGTGTTGTTCTTTCACTACTTTGTCATGGTAAAACCAGTGAAGTCCCCGCTTTTGCCTCGATTCCGCAAGTCGCCTTTCTTCCCATGTTCGAAAATTACCCAAAAAAATCAGCAAATCGATAGTCGACATAGCCAGCTATCTGGGTAAATTATAATACTTCACTAACCTGAATAGTTCGGCCATTTGGGGATGATTTCCCTAAAATAAACCATGATTCCATGATTTCTATACTGCATAGTCTATTTTTCACCATGTTTTTTTACCATTTTTCGATGGCATCTATGGCCGGTCTCCTCCTGTTCCTCGGTGATGCTTCCAAGGCCACCCTTGCGCATAGCCAGGCCCTGGCCGGAAACGGATTTGTTTTTTTTCGGGGAAAAACATGGAAAAATAAATTGCCATATTTCATCTAACCAGCTATTAAAATATGTGGACTTCATGTGGTAAACTATAGGATTTCATGGAAAATATGGTGGTAGAACCAAACCTACCCTCTGATAATTTCACACAGCCGTGGAACATGGCACATTGATAGATGAAGTACCTGTTTAAAAGTCTTGATTTTCCATAGAAAAGAAGTTAAACTACCAGAGAGTAAGGTAAAGAATGTGATATAACCAACAATAATCATAGGGATTTACTTGCGATTTACCCATGTGCAGTTTAAAAAAAGTAGCTGCAAATGAGTACAGTATATTATACGATTTAATGCGATAAAGCCAAGTACTTACTTTATACCATCCAATGTTTTTTAACAATCCCCCCAATGAGATGTTCAGTATTGGGTTGCCCAAATTAAGTATGTGAAATTAGGTGGCTACAATTTACCATTCCGTTTTTCTGAACAATGTCCATGTGGGTCCATCGTCAACCTTAAACGAAGCGCTTTGTAATCCAGTTTGCCAAAAATGGAGCGTTAGGATGGGTTACCCTCTGGTAAACGTTTACATAACTATGGAAAATCACCATTTTTAATGGGAAAACTCACTATAGATGGCCATTTTCAATACCAGAGGGTAGGATGTTTAAGAGTTGGTTTACCAAATTGCAAGGAACTTGGATGAACAGTGGGGAAAATGCCATCGTCTTTTCATCGGAGGCCCTCCACAGATCTTCCCGGCAAGTTTACTCCTATGAGTTGTTTCAGATCCATTGTTTCGGTAAGGCTGTGCAAAAAAAAATCCACCTAAACAGATCTCACACATCTATCCACCCTCTGCTGGTTTCGCTTCAGCTTTCATCAATAAACATCTGATCAAACATCGACCCAAATCAGCCCCGTCCGAGTGCAACGAGTGCAAGTCCCGTCCGCGCGGACCCTCTCAACCAACTTGTGAGCCTCGGGTTTCTCTAAAGGGTACTCTGATAAACATCAAATTACCTCGGGGTAAACTAACATAGATTTGGAAAATCAACAATTAAGGACATTTGAAGATATTTAAAAGATCATTTTCTTCAAAACCCATCTATATTGGTTTAACCCAGGGTAGCTGGCAAATCTAATGTAAGTTCATCGGCAAATGCCAATCTTACCAAATGTGGTATCATAATGGATAGTATGGGTTTTAACCCATATGCTTTTGACCCCCCTTGTAGATCTCCAATTTCAGTCAAGACTTGGTTTTAAACATCTACATAACATAACTCCATATGCTTTCCACATGGTATGTTTCCATATGTTTCCTTGTAAAATCGACATGTCTTCCACAGTTTCGAGACATTTTCCACCAACTCCATCGATTTCCCTTTGGGCTCAAGCAGTGATGAACTGACTGGCACGATAGGAGCTAGGACCTCCAAAGCCAATGAACCTCGATGTTGCCGGGGTCAAGGGACAAATGTGGTTTAGACATGGCCCCTCAAAGATGGGAAGATGGGAGTTGAACACCGATCTTCATCGCTTGATCTACCATGCATCAAACTCATCAAACTCATCAAACGCGCTCCTCCCAAGCATCTATAAGTTAAGGCTTTGTGTAAGTGCGAATCGGGGCACTGGTAGAGGGAGTCAAAGATCAAAACAGAATCCACCAGGCGATAGTTGTAGAGCTCACCCACCAATTTCACCTGTCGCACCTAGACAAGGATGTGGCGGGCAGGGGCAGCCATGAGTTTCCCACAACGATGTAAACGTTTCCCCTATGGCAGCCATACTCACAATGATCCAAGAAACTGTGGAGTCCATGGTCCATTTATCATATATCATATCATATATTTATTTTATGTTACAACATGTTACAACATGTTACAACCATATGATCACAAGGGCTTCCAACAACCCGATGTGAAAATTTTGGCGCTTTGGACAGATCTGGGCCACCAGGCCCTCAATGGCATCTCTCGGAAGTCGTTTCGTTCCAAGGTCACCTCCATGCCGTGGCCAGCAAGGCCAGCAAGGCCGGTTTCGATGGGATTTAACGAAAGGTAAAGTGGAGCATATATAGGAGCTAGCTCTATATGATAATATATATATATGTATATATTGATGTTGTTTGATAGGGGTGGTGGGATATCAAAAGACAATCATGGGATAAGAATAGGGTTATATGGGATAATAGTACAGTAGGGTAATATATAATGGGATATGATGTATGAAAATAGTTGGAAATACGTGCTGGTAATCAAACATGGCTAGCTTGAAAATCTACCATAGATATGAAGCTTTCCAGCTGGGAAAATCAACTAATTACAAATGGTGGATTTTCCAGCAAGCCACGTTTGATTGCCGGAGGCCATCCGATAATATGTAGCTTTATATATGTAGACAAAAGACACCATTTATAGCTAGTTCAATTTCAAAGTTCTGAAATGAAAATTATCTTCAAACCCCATGATGTTCCAGCTCCCGCTCCATCCCTCCTGAATGTTTTCCAGCAAAGAGTCAATGACGTCGATGACAAAAGCCTCACTTAAGCGCACCCCCTCGGGCAGTGGCACGGTGCCTATATTACACTGCCCGAAATTCACATAGACACTGCCAAATCAGGGGGTTGGAAGATTACTTTCCACATGTCCACTAAAAAAAAAGAGATCTATATGACAAGTGTTCACTTTCAGGGACACTACGTTAATCTGGTGGGGAGTATACCAGACTTGAAAAATAGGGACCCGCGGCGGACCAAACCGACATCAGCGTGGCGCTGGAGCTCGGCTGCGGACATCGCGGTACTTGGCCAGGCCACTCAAGAGCGAAGCCACCTGGGCCGCTGGGCCGGGTCAGCTGCGGGAAAGGAGATCAGAAAACCACAAGCCATGGAAGTGGATAAGCTACAAACTATGATGCTCTTACAGTCTGTACAGTTGTTAAACCATGATAGAATATGATAAATTATGATAAACTTACAGTTCTATCTCCGGCAGCTCTGCACAAGCGACGCATGACAAGTTCTCGTAGTTGGCATGGTGATTCAAGTCCTGCATGGCACGGTTGGCTGCTCGAGGTGTTGCCTGTTGGTCCTATACACATCCCGCGTCATCAAGTCTATATTTGTAAGATTAGATGATATGGACATTGGTGGTTCATCCCACTTAGCAAGTGGGTAACAACCCCCAGCGGATTAAGTTTACTTGTCCCACTTAGAACTGGGGTTATAAACCACTTACCATTCGTGGGATGAACCACCAAGTAGATTGCATGTTACCCCCCAAAGGAAAAAAAAACGTTGATGGTTTTGGTGGCTCATCATGGCTCCATCATGCACAGGAGCTTGTGCACAGGTAATTCCTTTCAATGTTTCACTCATGATTCTGCGTGAATTGACTCCAATTCTTGATTCTTCCTCGTACGGCTCAAGAAGATGTTATGTTTTATTTTTATTTTATTTCATTCAGGATATGAAATGTGCTCCCAGAGATGCTAACATACCTTCTTGGGGGATCACTACAGATTCATAAAAGTATCCCTTCAATATATATATATATATATCCGTTATATATCCATTTATATCCATTTATATTCATTTATATCCATCTATATCCATGCATTCCCCCCCAAAAAAAAAACATAGGTATATTATATAATTATGATATAATTATGCGCTATATATCCATCGGGTCGGCATATCCAGGCAGCAGCTCGGGGCTGTCCAATAAGCACTTCTTCAGCCAGCCAGATGCGGGACCTGAACTGGAAAAAATCCCTGGATTTCCTCGGCTAAAATGGCAAAACTGTGCGAAACTGGTGATGTTTCATAGGCAAATCCATGGTAAAATCTATGGAAAATCCATCATAAATCCATCTGCAACGGAAATGGATACTTTTCGACTTTTTTTCATGTATTCTTGGATTACTTTACTGGAGGGTACCCTCCCCCAAAAAAAAATGGCCGACCCAAGCTGTATCAATTGGGGGAGTACCCCATTTAAGTGACAGATTGCTCAATAAATTGGTGAATCGATCTGGATGAAATGAAATCGCAAGAACATCATGGCGAGATTCATTTTCCATGGTTTCTCCGTGTGCTTAAAATCCAATCCCCCTATTAAACACCCCTTAGATCCACAAGCTATGATATTACCCTCTGGTAAACTAAGGTAACTATTGAAAATGGCCGTTTAGTTCGTGGATTTACCCTTTATCAAAGTGGTGTATCTTTCCATAGTTATGTAAACCTTTCCCTTAGAGGCTACTATTAAACACCCCCTTAAGATCCACCATCTATGATATTAGACCATGAGAAAAACACCGGTTGATCCCCCGGAACTTCCTGTGGTTTCGCAGCCGTCCGGGAACCGAACCCTCCCAGGGCAGTTTTCGCACCAGCTTCAAAAAGAGATCCTGTTCCAGGCGGCGGTCCCAGTGGTCGACTGGCTAAGTTAGGGGCAAATAATTACCAAGATCAGTAGGGTTTATACTGTTTTATGGGCTTTATGATGGTTTATGGTGGATATATCTACAACATATATATATAGTATATGCATTCCACAACTCTATGAAGTTAACTTCTTGTTTCTTGAGCACGCTGTATAACTGAGGGGTACCACGTGAGTCTTTGAAGATTTTCGGAGTCATTTGGCTCGGAGATTCGGTCCCTCCCCTCCTTCAGTGCCACAATCAGGTGTGGTTGACGGTTTCCACAATCTCAACAATGATTTAACGGGAACAACCCAGTGATTCGGATGCCGAAAAATCATATGGCCATATATGGCCATAAGATGCTAGAATCAAACAACTTTCCCTCCCCTTTTCCGCATGGATGCGCATGGTCCTCGTCTTCCTCCTTGTACAAACCTGACAGCGCTGTGGGGCATTTCCGTGGATCGAGGCTTCGAAAAGAACCCTCAGAAGCCTCGAGTTGATGTTTCGATCGATGGTAACTTGGACCAAGTCCCAAATATCGAACCAACCAAAAATATCATAAAATATCTATGTATTCAGTCCTAAACATAAATATCTTCAACAGATCTTAGACATATCTTAACATATCTTAATGTGAACGTAAAGTGAACGTTAAAGTGAACATAATGGACCGTCCTTACTACTGACATAAGGTTCGTCACATCGTTCATCAAAAACACCGCTATCCCCAGTCCAAGTCCGTCCAAGTCCGTCCAACTCCTTCGGCGACCGGACGGTCAAAGACCAAGTGTTCCACAAAGAGCTCCGGGGGTTCCTTGCAGCGGATTGGATGGTCATGGTGAATCTGACCTGCCCAAAAAAAAAATGGCTGGTTAGGAGCAAGTTTACCATTGGCAGCAAAAGGTTAAAGTACCTTTAGTATCTTTACAAAGCTCGACCCAGAACCCTGATGATTGGAAAGTTTTGATGAATTTGATGCTGATGAAATCCTGATAAATCCCGCTTTTCGTTGGTCGATTGTTTTCTGTCAGTCCCTTCCCTTCCAGCTGTGATTGGAAGGTTGGGAACGGACATGGGACATTTGCACATACAAAGCTCTGGCCTGCGGCACTAAGGGGCCCAAGGGGCGTGTCCGCCCCTTGGAAATTCCCCCGCTTGAAAACCACCATTTCGTGGGGGAACTGGGGGAACTCAGCTCGTCTTGTCCTTGCTTTTCTTCTGCTTTCGCTTCCCCTCCGGCCTCAAGATTTCCGAAAACTGAATGGAGTCTGACTCCAAAAGTGGCGCAGCCTCGTTGATATGCAAATAGAATAAAGATCTATATATAAATTATATATATATGTGCGTATATATATATACACAGTATAAATATATATATACAGTATATATATGTATATATACAGTATATACATATACATATATATATATGTGAGCTTTAAGAGAGCTGTTCCCACAAAAAAAAAACGGTAACAAGGGCTTGTTGGGAAATTCCCTTGCCGTTCTGGCTGAGGCTCAGACGGCTTGACCTGATAGAAGGCATCTTCCAGCATGATCTCCAACCTGGATGTTGTGAGCTCCGAACCCGGAGGAAACCAGTGGTGCTTCCCAACTGGTTGGTGAAAAAACCATGGATAATAGTGATTAATAGTGATTAATAGTGGTTATGAGTGATTAATACCTGATCTCATGAATAATATATCTGGTTGGTGGTGCAATAACCATCTTGAAAAACATGAGTTCGTCAATGGGAAGGATGACATCCCATATAATATATGGGATGTCATCCTTCCCATTGACGAACTCATGTTTTTTGCCATATATGAAATGGAAAATAGAAAAAATGTTCCAAACCACCAACCAGACATGCATGTATATCAAAGGCTTACTTGCATCTACACAAATATAAATATGGATAAATACTTCAGTGAATGAATAATTAAATATTTACATATTATACATAATGACAGGTTATGTACATTAAATCATACGAATACACGCGCGCATATGAATGATTATGAATGTATATATATATCATATATCATTGTTTTATATTTATATTACATATATTATTATATATATATATATTGTACATGTGTGTGCTTATCGAGCTTCGGAAATAGTGCTTGACCAAATCAGGCTGGAAAGAAAAATGTCAAAATATGTCAAACCACCCCACCTCAAGGGCAAAGACTTCGCTTTCGTAAGACGCAGCCTGGGTGTACAGCTACAGCAGGCAAACCTACCATCTGGGAATGGATGTGCATGGCTTAGTATTGGGTTTGCCAGTTTATTGGATTTTAGAATCAAAATCTGGACTTTTGTTGGGAAACTTCTCAAGATATTCAAAAAAAATGCTGAAGTTTTCAGGTGTTCACGTGTGTTCACCACCAGCTAAGTCCCGAGACATTCGTTCCAAGAGGTTGTCTGTGCGGGTGGCCGTCTCTGGTTTGTACATCAGGTAACGCCCACAGGTCCTTGGAACCAGCGGCTAAAGCAGGAGTCACCAAGTCTCCAATTTATAGCAACCAAGTGGGTTGACCCCACTAGCGGCCACTAGCGGCCAATGGATCCAATGGGCACCCGGGCTGCAACAGGTTGGCGCAGAGTTCCGCATTCTGCTGGTTGAAGTCATCGCAGAGGGTCTGGAGAAAGAAATGGACCCCAGCCGCTGACATGGACCCACGGTCCCACGGATAATTTGCTGATCCTCACGTGGAACAACACATATCATGTACTATCATGTGATATCATGTCAGACTTATCAGTGACTTATCCGTATACACCTATAGCCCATAGCCATCCATAGCCATCCATAGCCATCCATAGCCTCTCTCAGATCACACTTCAACCAGCCTTGCTATCCCCAACTCGACCATCCCACTGCGACTGTGGCCTTAAAGATGTCCAAAATGACGCCCGGAGGGCAGATTTTGAACTTGCAGAGTTCACAGAGGTACTTCACCACCTTCACCTGGTAGCGCCCAGATGGTACCCTAAGTCATAGCTGGTTAATGGATGGTTGTTTCCCCATGGTAAAATGGAAAATTACTGAATAAGTTGGAACGTGTTATTTTCCGGATTTAATTTTACATTTAAAGGGGAAGCGTGCTCATACTCAGAGATGGCCATGGAAAAATCCACAAATCATGAACAAATGTTCAATAGAAATGGGGAGTTCACACTCAACTATCAAAGTCCCAGATGAACAATGAACTTGAAACATAGCTTTTCATAACCATAACAATTGGTGATTGGAACAATTATTAAACTTAAATCTTTGGTGATTGGTGCTTTTCCGGTTAGTGGTTTCTATGTTTTTCATTCCTGAAACATACATAGCAGTCAAAATTCGGATCATCCTCAATGGGCGCGAAACATGCCCAACAGCACCAACTCGTTTTTCAACGCACCAATTCGTTTTTGATAAGTTCTTCATCATTTTTCCACGAGATTCCTATGATACTGCCATGATACTGCCATATCTATGTTGGTGTTTGATCACCATTTTTCCTATAGGTTTCCTATGGTTTCCTATGGCTTCATCATGAAAATATCACCCATGAAATCACCCATGAAATCACGAAAGATGAAACCATGGTGCCCTGGGTGCCCAAAAAAAATTCGGCCTTTTGTTCCAGGAGGCTTTGGTTTGGGTCGCCAATGACCTGGCGATTGGAACCACAGGAGAACAGCCTGGGCCTGGGCCTCCCAAGATCCGTGTCTACCCTCTGGTTATGTCAACATAGCTATTGAAAATCACCATGTTTCATGGATTTTCCCATGAAAAATGGTGGATCTTTCCATAGTTATGTAAACGTTCACCAGAGGGTAACTAGGATTTAATACATCTATAAATTCTATAGGTTCCTGATGGTTCCTGGTTGGTGGTGCAATAACCATCTTGAAACATATGAGTTCGTCAATGGGAAGGATTATCGCATATATGAAATGGAAACCATCTGGTTATTTAACATGGCCATGGAAAGATCCACCATTTTTAATAGGTAAACCATCTATTTCTATGGGCCATCTATACCATGGCTATGTTAAATAACCAAAGGGTATAGGTTCTATAGATCTTATAGTTATGATAGTTATTGTATGTTATGTCTATAAATTCTATAGTTCGATGGTTCATAAACGTGCAACGTTGGGTCACCTTCCTGCAATTGGCGGATTGTTTCTCGGCAAGATCCCTATGGGAAAATCTCATTGAAGCTGCTTGCCTCCCATTGCTCCGGAAGATGATTGCAATCATAGCCTCTGGTAAACGTTTACATAACTATGGAAAGATCCACCATTTCGAATGGGTAAATCCACTATTTAACTATTTTGACTGGGCCATTTTCAAGTTCAGTTTAAAACTGTTGGTTTACCAGGTTGGGTAGCTATCATAGCTCCTAGCTCCCGGATAGATCCACGGTGTTTTAATCATCCCGATTCTGAATGGTTCTGACTAACATAGCCATGGTATAGACGGCCAGATGGCCCATAGAAATAAATGGTTTACCATGGTTTACCGTTCTTAAAAATGGATCTTTCCGTGGCAAACTGTTACATAACCAGATGGTATAGCGGAACTCCTTCAAAAAGAAAATAGCCAATCATAGGCCCTTTGCTGGATGCTAAATCAATTACGGAAGGTAATCAAACGTGTCTGGCCGGAAAATCCAGCATTTAGTTCAATGATTTTTCCACTATATAAAAGACCATTTAAAGTGGATTTGGAATTGCCCCCAGGCATTGAAGCGCAGATATTTTTTTCAGCGTAGCCTGCTCAAGCTCTTGCTGCAACCACGACATCAGCAAGTTGGGCACTTCTTTGACATAAGGCCTTAGCAAATCTCGGCATCAGGCTTGGGCCACAACCTCTTGGAGGTAAAACTATGGTAAAACTAAACTATAGCAATAAGTGTGTCTGAAAAAACAAAATGTATTGAATAGCAATAGCAATAACCTATTATATAGCTATAGCAATAAGTTGCTGCAGCCACTGCTATTAGATTGTAACCTCTAGCTGCAGATGGCAGATCTATTGCGATTGTAACCGGATCACTGAAAGGATTGGCAGAAATCACTGGCCGCTGATGAACTCCTCGTTTGCCATGTCTGCCTTCCCCTCAATATTTAAGTACCCCCCGACACGAAGCCTGGCAGCCTGCTGGAATGATGTGGAATGTGTTGGATTTCATTTTTTGGGGCCAGCAGCTATTATAGATTTATTTCATATATTTTCACATGATATAACAATATGTGGCAGTGGGTCAAAACCTGGTAAATGGATGTTCATCCCTCTAAAAATGGTATTAATAGGTATTGATTCATAGCCATATAACATGATCGGGGGATAAGATTGCAACTCTGACTCAGTGGGATTTCAGTGGATTTCAATTATCGAAGTCACAGGTTTCATTTGGCTTTACCACAAGCTGGGATTCCCACCCTACCATCGCCGCTATGCGCGCATAAGGTGCCAGCAAGTGCAGCCTAGACAAAAACGCGCACGTGGTCAGGAGGAGGGCCCAAGAGATGGAAAGTCAAGAGGGGGTTGGTCCGACATGGGATTTGGTCCGAATCAACTCAAATGCATCTCCCAAATGGCAATTTCTTGATTCTTTTTCCAGGTGAATGTTGGTAAGATCATGTAAAATTTTCCCCATATTTGGCTATATTTGGCACGTCTGAAACCTGGTAACACATGCAGAAACCAGAGTATCCATGCAGAAACCGGTCAACTCGTACCCGGACGTTCCCTTCACCCAGCAGAGCGCGAAAAAAGCGCAGCTGAGGCTGGTGCTGCTTGATCTTATGGGCCCCATAGAGGTGAAACTCAGATAGAATTTTAGGCGGATCCAGCAGGGCCCAGTGATGTTTCTTGGTTTCGTTTCACGCAAAACAGCTGGTATTCAACCTAGTTAATTATGATGGCTAGGTTATATCCATTCAAAAACCCATTAAAACCACCGGTTAATCATGTTGGCTACAGCTAGTTTTTGATGTTTGCCCCTTCGTGTCAGAGGCGATCGATATGAGGCCGGGGCGGCCAGTCTCTGGCGATTGCCCTTGGTATTGAAATCGTGGAAGAACCTGACTTCGCGACTTCGCGATGGGAACGGAAGATCTCATGGGTAAATTCAATGTCACCGTCAGGTTCTACAACGGCCACATGTACACACACATACACGGATATACGTGTATATATATATATAGTTGTTTTTAGATTGATATAGACAATCTAAATATATATGTATAGAGAGAGAGATGTATTATAAACAATTAACATTAAACAACTATACATCAGAAAAAAGTCCCACCATATATCAGAGATAGGGCAAAAATGTATCTATCTATACACAAAGGTCGTGCGCATCTGCGTCTCGGCGTCCGAGCTCCACCACAATATCATCCACCTGGTGTGGTGTGGCTGGATGATTTGGATTTGGGGATGGGTCCATAGGAAACCGGACACCTCCATATACTTTGCATATATCATATACCATCTGGTTGGTTATTTAACATAGCCATGGAAAGATCCACCATTTTTAAGAACGGTAAACCAACTATTTCTATGGGCCATCTACACCATGGCTATGTTAAATAACCAGAAGGTATACTTACTATGGTTTAGAAACTAATCTAGGACTATAACTATAACTATATAATCTATGACCATAAACTGTTATATACGGTTATGACCATTGATTTCAGTGGCATGGAAAACTTGCTACCTTTGATTGTGTGGGGAAAATTCATGAAGATGGCCATTCAGAATTTCAAAAACTGATTGCATCATAGTGTTGTGGGACAGGATAGATGGTAAGCGCATCATCTTCCCAAAAACATCACTTTCTCTGTGGAGAAGAGGGCTCCTTCCTATAGCATGTTTTTTCCGGCGACCACCTGCTTGGCTGATTCAGCTTTGGAGACGCGCATGAGGTACAAATCAAAGTCCTTAGCTGGGTGGCGCGCTTGAGAATATGGTAAAACCGAATCTTAAGATGCGGGGTTGGCGTAAGCCGTGAACATATTGAAGGTGATCATTGAAATTCGTTGAAGTTTCGAATTTTAAACATGGTGTTGGCAGCGTAAGCCTTCAACAAATTTCAACAAAACTTGGGTTTCTTCTATGTTAGCCTTGGGTTTCCCACATATGTTCAGGGCTCTCATCACTGCTAGAGACCCTCACCATCCTTCACCACGTCCCAGAGCCGAGTCTCTGAAGCTGCAGCATCCTTTGGCTTCTCCTTTTCCTCTGGTGGGCGTTCAGGCTTTGCCTCCTGGACGAATGATGGTTGATGCTGCTTCATGAGGCCTTCTCACGAAATCCCTTTTTTCCATGAAATTTCAGTTTTCCATGGTTTCTGATCAATTCTCCACGACTTCCTACTTCGTTTGGGGGGATTGTTTTCTCGTGTTAAGAACTGTCCATCATGGCTTAATGGAGCCCCTCCAGAAGAGGACGTGCCCGTTGCCAGAATCTCTAGGGGCCCATATGAACACCACAAATTGAAAGGGCACAACAAAAAAATAACACAATAATTAATAAAGGATCACGAAGGATCATACAGAACCCACTATGACAAACCATTATCAAATCAATACTCGAGGCGGTCGGGGCTGCTTGAATCCCCTACTCAGAGCCCCTAGGTTGATACTCAGACATTGTTTCTGATTGCTGCTTGGTGGTGCAATGTGCCCATCTTGAAAAATATGAAAGTCAATGGGTTTCGGATGACATCCCATATTTAAAATGGAAAAATAAAAATGTTTGAAACCACCAACCAGTATTGTGTATCCCACTCCATTAATGGATAAAGGATTTTTCAGCCCTTCAGCGTCATTTCGGCCCCTTCGGCCCCTTCGGCCCCTTCGGCCCCTTCGGCCCCTTCGGCCCCTTCGGCCCCTTCGGCCCCTGGGCGCTCCGGATCAGCATTTGCATCTACAGTGCTCTTGCCAGAAGTGAGGAGAACGGCAGGAATGATGTCCTGAACTGCTCAGATTATCGGGAGTTACCATCAAAATGGTGGTGCTTTTCAATCAACAATTGAGATGATATAGATGTAACACAATGTAACTATCAAGAATATAGATTCAAGCAATGAGCTACATCTCAATTGCAGATATCTGGAGATATCTGGAGATGGCTTTTCCAACAGGAACATGGTGGGTCCCACGGGACCCAGGGCTTCATCTTGTGTTGGAGCTTTCTGGACACATTTGGCCACGTGGACCACTGGATCAAAGCTATAAAACACCATGGCAGACTAATCTCAGATCCTCAAATCCACCAAACTTATCAAGGTGAAGAATCAAAACTAGTCGACCATTTCCTCAGCAGCGGTTCATCTACTGTGCTGAACTTTGGCCTTGAGATCCACCAGATCTTCGTAGAACTTCTGCTGCTCCGAGTCCTGTCATTGGATCGAAATGGGATGAAGCAAACGGATGCTTTTTTGGGTGTTCACAATCAACACAAAAATTGGGGTGATTATGTAATATATGCTTTAACTAATTATCAACCATAGAGATAGTTGGTTAGTTGGCGGAGTGGTGTGAGAGAAAACCCATTGAGGAACCCCAAGTTTCATGAGGTTTCCTGAAGATCTCCCGTCAACGAATACCTCTAAAGAAACACTGGAAGGGTCATCATCAACAAGTGGGGAATTGGCATTTGGTAGAAAAAATGTTTTGATTTTGAATTTTAACAGATCTTGACCATCAACAATGGGGAAGCTGACCGGGTAAAACAATAAATCAGGTGGAACTTCAATTGGGATTTAAACCATAAAAAATAGGATCTATAGTTATCTATGAAAACTAAACAAAAAAATATGGATCCAACCAATGAGTGGCCGAAATGGGTTTGTCCAGTGGATTTGAGGTGTGCCCCATTCCGAACAAGGACAAGGATGACGAATTGGGCAAAATTAGAAGAGCGTGCGAAACCACCAGAAATTAACTGCTTGCCAATCGCAGAGAGGAAAATCGAATGATAATTGCATGCAACAATGTTGTATGATGTATGTATGTATGTGGGTATATATATATATTATAGTAAAAAAAATATTAGTTATGCCCCTGTATTATCCGTATCTGGCAGCTATGCATTTATGTCCCCACATTTTTTTTGGTGATATACTTTTCTTCGGTGGCCCGCACTCGCTATGTTGAGATGATGCTCCTCTCAAGTTTGCTATCAACACACATGCGTGCAGGTATGAATGTACGTCTGCCACATGCACGTTGCCATCCCAATGCACTCCATCTACCTCATTTCGCCCAACAACATCCCATGAAGCCAGATTTACCTTCCACTTCACTAGCATAGCAAGCTAGTGAGAGCGAGTAAGTCTGAGTAGCCTCAATACAACACAGCAATGGAACGTCCCTCGTTGATCCCTTAAAAACCTCCGTATTGGGGGATCAAAATCCCGCCATGTTTGCCGGAGATTTCCGGCAAAACGGACCTCGAAGATCAAGACCTCCTCCTCTTCAACGATCTCTTCCTTTTGCTTTTCGGCCACTCCGATTCTGGACCTCAAAAAGCGCCGATGGCGCCATGTGGCCCATGTCATTTTATGGCCTGTTGGGAGGTCACCTTGGGAGGTCACCTTGGGAGGTCACCATGAAAAAATCTAAAAAGTGGTGGTCTTGATCAACAAATTGGTGAAAAAATGTGGTGAATCACCAAAAAAATGAAGTTGCTGCCATTGCTGCCCAAGTTTGTTGGCGAAGTTACGGTAAACATATGACACATATGTAGACATAACTCCAATAATTGGGGATAACCTGAGTTTATGGATGTTTATGGCAGGTATATCGAGCTAGTTCTTCTCGGGGGATAAGTTCCTGCAAGTATTGATAGATGGTTTACAACTAGGCTAGCTAGGATTTGCGGTGGACATGCATATCATATGTATTGTCCTATCATTATATACAATGTATATATATATACATATACATAATATATACATACATACAATGTATATTAATATATACAAGTATACAAAACAACTCAAAACGTAGGACCCCTTCCTGTACTTCTCTCTCCCTCCATGACCTCTCGGAGAGTCGGTGAGCCGAGGTGTCGACACATCTTGCTCCTCTTCGATCGTCGGCATTGGCCTCGAGAAAAGGAACATCCAGGGGTTGCTGTGAACATTTGAGGCTACCCACTTCTGTCTTTTTTACCAGGAAAAATGAAGGCAGTAAATGGGATAATTATGATATATTATGATATATTATGATAATTCCATGTTTTAAGTTACACCATCTAACTCACCATTCATTCATAACTGACTCAACCTGACTTACCAACAAGAGTGGTCAAACCCACCAGGCACCACCAGCGCCCCAGGCTGATTCAAGAACTCCGACAGGGTGGTCAGAGTGGACTGTCAGGCAACGGACGTCTCTACTCTGAAGATGGGGGAGCAAATACAAACTACACACTCAGATGATCAGATGTATCAAGAAGATTCAAGAAGTCAAGCTGCGCTCTAACCAGGTTGAAATCAGGTCGAACCTAAACAAACGTTGGGAACCTGGATGTCGTTGCAGTTCGCAGGACGTGCTGTGGGATGCTGTGGGCCTCGATCTTTTGCAACGCTTCCTTGAACTGCGTGTGTTTTTGCTCGTTTTCCGCATCCACCTGAGACGATGCGTGAGGAAAAATTGTGGGCATGCCACTGCCTGGCGAAAGACTTTAGGGATCCAGTTTGAAAATCAAATCAGATCCAAACAGATCCGCAAAATAGAAGAAACACTCGAGATCTTCAATGTTTTTGGGATACATTTTGGTGTTTCATACTCCAATTCCAATGGGTTTTCATTATATATCCCTGTTTTTTTTCCACCAAAATCTTCCATCTTCGATTTGGATTATCCAGTACAAAAATTTATAAACCATCCATTTGGGGGTACCCCCATTTATGGAAACCACCATATGAAATGAAGATGATACTAAATTATAGACCATAATATTAATATAATGACAATGATGAATAACCATAGATTTGATGAGCCATGAACAAAAATGTACTTGTCAACAAAACTTCTGTCAGCTGGAGCCTGGCCCTTGTCGACCCGCAGAGCAGCATTGGCCTTCTCCTGCCAGTTTGTTAAGATATGACCATGTGTCAAAACTCTGGCGGCCACCAAAATGGTTGATATTACTAAGATCTTAATAGCATATTGTATATATATATATACTAATGGGATATTGATGGGATATTCATGAGATATGTATGATATATTTTGATATAATAATGCGATGTTAACGCGATATTAATGAGATATTAACAAAATATTGATAGGATATATATATATAACCAACTTAACATGAATGGGCATGGTGCCACGTGGATGTTCATTGCTTCACAAAGTATGGTATAGTAATGTATAAATATGTATAATAGGTTCTGATTTGATCCAAATATTTCGAATTACATCTGGGTCGGTCTGAAAATGGACGACATCCCCATAAAGTTGTGACCGTTTTAGAGGGATAATGATGAATTTTTCAAGCGTATGGAAGAAGGTTTTCAGAGGTTTTCCAACATACCCTCTGGTAATTTAACATAGCTATAGAATATCACCATGTTTAATAGGTAAACCATCTTACTTGGAGGATCATCCCGCTTAGCAGGTGATAAGCAGTTTGTTACCCATTTGAAATAGCTGGGACCGGGATAACCCACCAAGTTACGGGATTTTTTTTGAGGAGGGCAGACGAAAAACCACTAGCTATAGGTGGAATGATCCTCCAAGTAGACACGGAGCTTAAGAGCTAAGAAAATTGTGGGAGTTTTCCATTGCTATAGGTTTTCTCTCTAGTAAACTAACATAAAACTA